CAAATAATGTTTCACTTTCTCGGGAGTATTTTCATTATACTGGATACTAACGGGGGAGACATCCTTATCAGCGACCCTGGGGTAAGCATTTTGAATTATCTCCCCTGTTTCACAATAACGAAAGTAGGATATTTATAATCAAAGGTAGATTGGTTGTTCATGAGGGACATGTCTGGACAAGGAGGGAAATCTGTCACATTAGAGACTCGTTTTGTAAGTTAGCTTTGATTATTTGCTTTGATTCAGCATATTTCACATTAATGATAGTAGTTGAAGTTGTCCACACTCCCTGATACAAGGATCGTGTGGGAGTTTTTCAAATGGTCCAACTGAGCACCAGCTGAGTTTATACATTGTGTGAAAAAGAAAGAACACGGTGACATCTGCGTTGTATGTATTAGCTGGTTTAACCTCGGTTTGCCTGCACCCTGAATGTTATGATAAGAGATTAAATGTGCCAGCAATTATCTTAAGAATTATAGTGACCAGGGAACCTTGCTTCATTAACGGTGACGCGTGGCTGACACGAATTGGTGAACAATTTTCAGTATAATCAGTGTCAAACGTGAGTTTCATATCATGTTGAACGAATTTATTAATCATTTAATCAACTATGGCTATAAAATGACGAACCAGGAAGGATGTCGGCTTCTCCCTTAACTCAGAAAAAACAACAGGAATAGTATTCAAATAGAAAAACATGAAACCCGCCTCCCCAATCCTCCAGCTAAACAATCAAACAATCAAATTTCAAAAACAAACCAAATTCTAAGAACTTATTTTCGATAAACATCTCACCTGGGATGCTCACATCCAAAACCTAACGACTAAATGCAGTAAAGACCTAAACACCCTAAGATGCCCAACTGGCTCTAACTGGGGAGCCTCCAAAGATACCCTCCTCTCTCTCTACATATCACTAGTTAGATCAAAACTAGACTACGGCTGCGCCATATACAACACCCTAAACAACTCTCTATCTAAAAAACTTGACTCAATACAATATCAGGCTCTCAAACTAATTCTACGCACCCAACGTGGAACCTCCTACACCTCACAGGAGAAATGCCACTAAGTCTATGCAGGGAACAGCTAAGCTTAAAGTTCTGGGCCGCGTCCCAATCAAACCCTCTCATCCAAAACTTAATAAACCAAAACATCAGCCCCATAAACCAAGCTCTAGCTCGTAAACACCCCTTACTTACACCAATATCCCACAGAATAACAAACTACCTAAATGAACACCAAATTAAAAATCTTAAACAAAACTGCAAACAATCAAATATCTTCACCCCTAAACTTACCCAAAATAGACACAACACTAGCTAGCCAAATAAATAAACAAACCGACCAAAATATAGCTAAAACTACCACACTAGCATACATACACGAAAATTGGCCAAATTGGTGTCAAATTTACACGGACGGATCCTCAGATCCGACCTCCAAACACACAGGTTTCGGAGTCCATACCACACAACCAACTAAAACCACACAATCCTTCCGACTCCCAAACAACCAATCAATATTCACGGCAGAACTAATGGGCATGGCCTCAGCCCTCCATAATCAAGAATCCAAAAACCACAAACAAATCCTAATACTTACCGACTCCCTAAGTGGACTGCAAGCCCTCCAAAACAAAAATACCAAAAACAGACCTAAATTAATAAATTAAATACTTAAAAGCTCCAACGACCTAACTAAGGCAGGCAAACAAATAACCTTCTTGTGGATACCAGCCAACGTAGGAATATACGGTAATGAAAACGCCGATAAAGCAGCTAAACTATCCCTCAAAATGCCAGAAATAAGCTTAAACTTACCCATCTCAAAATCAGAAATTAAAAGTGTAAACAAGCAAAAAATCACAAAAAATGGCAAAACCTATATCTAAACTCAAATAGCCAAATCGAAAAAGTGCTCAGCAAACCACTAAGCAAACCACGACAGAGTAATCACTAAACTCCAAACTGGACACACCAACCTAAATAACCACCTAAAAAAAATAAAAAAACACACTACAGGTAACTGCCCCCACTGCAAACAACTAGAAACCCCAGAACACGCACTCATCCACTGCACACACTACCTAACACATCGAACTGCATTACAAACCACCCTCAATCTAAACAAGGCTCTCACTCTAGAAGCAATACTAAACCCACAAAATAAACTAGAAAACTTCAAGGCCTTAGGCGTAATTTTAATCAAAACGGAACTAATAAAACGCATCTAAAAACACAATAACCTACCAAATCAAAATCACATAAACAAACAAACATCCACCATACCCAGCTCCCTTAGTTCTCCTCCGCAACCCCATCGGCATCTATTCTAAATCTCAAAATTCCCAAATTCTATATAAGCAACCCCTAAAGCCCCCACTTGGGTTGCACAGACCACTTTCGCACCTTTCGGAAATACATTAAATGGCCTGGCCGGGTCCGTGTGCGAAATACGCATCAGTCGGAAAGCGCACGTTAAATCTCCAAAGTAAGTAAGTACGTAAGTAAGTAAGGAAAGGGTGTCAAAATGGCTAATGCACAGGTTCAAGTGAGATTTGTTGACAATAAGCATGGTGGACAAAATTAGGTGTTGCCACAAGAGTACACTCAGACAACCAGCGGTGATCCCTTCCTGCTCCACCAAGATGAGACCATGATGATCTTCAGCACCACCGAGACATCTGTCATCTGCTGAGATTTTCTTCTGCCACGGCACCTTCAGTGTTAGCCCAAAGATTTTTTACCAGCTTTGCACCATCCATGCTATTGTTGCTGGCAAAATGGTCCCACTCATCTATGGTTTGCTTCCTGATATACGCCAGTCAACCTACATGAAATTCTTTCAACGTGTTAAGAAGATTGCTGCAGACAACAACATTCCCCTAGCCCCATCAACAATCTTCACCGACTTTGAAGCAGCTGTGCAGAATGCCGTCAGGGACACCTTTCAGTGCCAGCCCAAAGGTTGTCTCTTTCATTATAGACAGGCAATCTGGAGAAATGCCCAGAAGAATGGACTTCAGACCTTGTATAAGACCCATGACAATGTGAAATTCCTGAGAGCCTCAGCCCTGCCACTGGTGAGAATGTGTGACATCAACGGTGTGTGGATGGCAGCCCTAGAAGAAGCAAACTTTGATGATCCACGGGTGCTGAGGTTTGCAGATTATGTTACTGAACAGTGGGTGGAGAGTGTTGGTCGTAGCATGTGGAACCACTTTGAAACAGTGGGTTCCAGAACCACAAACAATTTTGAAGGATGGCATGGTAAGCTAAGCAAACAGGGGCCTAGCCATCCAAATATATTCAAATTCATTGACATTATAAAAAAAGAACAGTGTCACTGCTCTTGCAAATCCAGGCTGGTGGGCGACTTCCTCCAAAGAGGAGGAAGTACCGCAATGTGGATAGCGGTATTGAGAGGGAAAAGCAGGAGTTGTTGGCAGGGCTCAAGTCGCCAACAGAATATGCTGATTCTGTGGCAAGATTTATTGGTTTGTGAGTTAAAATGTATGTGAAGTGTAAATAATTAATTTAATTTCTGACTAATATATTTTGCATGTATGAACATATGTATGATTAATAATGTATGCTGTATGTACATGATAAGTAAAATAACGAATGTCATGTTGCCTTCTTTTATATCTCTTTTAATCCTCATAATCCCTCTATTGTACACTTGTCAGTAATGGTTGGGTAATTTTAAACCCAGAACAATAGGTGCCGGCAAACCGAGGTGTCCCCTATAAGCTCTGGGCTTTCGGGTCTGATGTAATTGTTGACGATACATTGATTATGATAATACCATGCTCATCAATGAGGTCAACTGTGGACCTAAATTGTCGACATTATATTTGGGCAGCCTTTGTTAGTATGCATGCAATCAAGTACACAGCTTTTCTATTTCTATACATGTTGTATTGCATTTAGTTTGCTAGTTATTATGAATGCATGTTTGTAAACTTCTATGTTGATAGCTATCTGAAGACAAACATGCAAATCAGAGAAATCTCAGCTCGCAACAATAATGGGTAAGAGGGGAGGTAACTCTAATCAAGATTGCACAGTCACATTTCAAAACTTTCAAGTTACACATTCAAGCAGTTGTTCTGGCTGGTGACCTCTTATCTCGAACTATTGTCTCTAGTCATTGGCATTAATACTCACGAAATAATAAGATGTGAAGTCATGATTTTTTTTTGCGTTGGCTGAGATATTCTGAAATATTGTTGAAATTTTAGCCAAAAGCGGCATAAAAACATACTCACCGATAACCACAAAAATGGATCAGGACACATTTTTACTGACGGCACCTGTGATTAATCCAGTGATTAATATTGTAAGCAACAGCTGTGTCGTCAGGGTACGCTTTTATTCAATCAAGCAAATATTCGAGCCTGTACACCCGATCAGCTTGTCGACATAAATAATTCGTTGCAGTGGTCCAATTTAACTGGTAAAACACGCAGAGGTCGTTGGATTTAAGGTACATTTAGACAGTAACAACGTTTAATCTAAACTGGTGCACCCGGTACAAGAGGTATTTAAAGACCGCACGTTTAAGAAAGTGTAGCTGTGTAGTATTACCAATCATTGCAAGATAATGACTTTCCGGGTTACATTAAATTTTGAAGTGTCTCAATACCTGAACAATCTGAGGATTAGGGAATGATATGTATCTAGAAGGAGAGGACAAGTGTGTACCTATGGGAAGCCATTCGATTAAAAAATACATCAGTTGAAATAAACATCACCAGTAATAAAGTAATACTTTGTGCACCTCGGAGTTATGTTGGAGTTCTTAATTGTACTTGTGTGTGTACAGACGTTCTTTAATCATCATTGTTCTTTCATTCATGCGTCGTCTTTTCTTTAAAGGTTCATTCGGTATTTTCACCTTTTTTAGTAACATTGATTCCTCTATTTTTTACATTTTTTTATTATTGCGTACTTGTGACCTTTATTTCAACATGTATTTTTTGACAGAATGGCCGCCCATAGATATATAGCTAGACTGAGAGGGCAAATGTACTAGGGAACAACAAAAAACGCAAGGTCAAGATCCGCCCAGGGGCGCGACACCTTCGTTAACCTGGAGGTAACCACAATCAGGCTGTTTGTTTGCGTCTTTTTCCAGCAGAGGCGATACAGAGACAATGTTGGACAGGGGCCTGTTGTTCCTACTGCTACAGGGTACGTTTATGTTGTTTGACTTGAATATGGGGGCACGGGTGGCCCAGTCGTCTAAGGCGCCGCCGCCTTCTGTGCAGAGTTGCGTCCCTTGGGCACGCCAGAAACCTATGATTGTGGGTTCGAATCCCGGTTCGCCCCGATTATGTTTCTAGGTTTGTCAGCACCATACCCGTGCCCGTGGGTTTCACCGAAGTGGTAAACGTCTGAGACACCCCCCCACCGATGGAGCCGATGCGTGTGCCGGTGACTTAACTTTCATTGATCAGTTTGCTAAAAGTGTTAAGTGCTAAAAGTGATATGTTCACCCATGCTGTCTACGGTTTGTGTTGATTTTAATGTCATATCTAGGGCAGACATTTACCAATCACTTGTTCATTTCAAACCTGGGACGCTGGACTCGCACTTGCAGGACGATGCGGCATGTGAACCAGCGGATGACTACCGTTATGTGTGTGACGTAAATAAAGCTGACGTGTTCTGGCATAACATGCTTGCTGATTATGTCATTTCCTTGTTTGAAGAATGTCAACAATCTATGTCTGAAAGTTTGAATGTTGCCATGGAAAAATTTGAAGATGCAATATGTCAGGCTGCAGACTGTGTGAAACGTAAACGGGCCTGTTTTGGCACATACATCTCAACAAGAAGACAAGTGTTACTTAAAGTGTTAAGATTGAGTAAAGGTGATAGTAATTTGCAAGAGTATATAAAAGCAGAAACCTATTCTCAGCTGTTCGAGACAAAAAAAAGTGTTCGTACTTGAATATAATTAGAAATAGATTGTTGGATAATCTCAACATTAGTAAATCTTTCTGGTTTACACTTAAGAGTTTTTTAGGTGCTTCACGTTCGGTTCGACCGTGTATTCCATTGCAAGGGAATATGTTTGTGGGTAAGGCTAACATGGACGATGTCTATGTTGATCTCGGGGATATTACAGGAGATTTTAATGCATTTTGGATTCACCAATTACTCAAGAGGAGGTGGCAGCTGCTTTTGACGATGTCAAAACTTCAAAATCTCCCGGGTATGGTAATATCATTGCTGAATTTTTAAGCATTAATGTGATATTTTATTACCGCTTCTTACTGTTTTATTAAATGGACTTTTTGAGGGCTGTTTTCCCAGAATCGTGGTCGATAGGATTGCTAGTGCCATTACATTAGAAAGGAGATCTAAACTCTACATCTAATTATAGAGGTATAACAATTTTGAGTGTCCTCAGTAAAATGTATATTTCAGTTTTGAACACTAGTTCAAGATTTTGGTGTGATGCGCATGACAAAGTTTTGGAATCGCAAGCCGGTTTCCGGCAGGGTTACTCAGCTATGGATGATGTTTTCCTATTAGTCTGTTGCTGGTCGTCGCTTGGGGAAAAAGAAAGGCAGATTATATGTTTTGTTTGTGGATTTTGCTAAGGCTTTCATAGGGAAGTTTCGCCAACAATGTTGGGTTGCATCAAGTCTATTTATGAAAGTGTAAAATCGTGCGTTAATTTGATACTTTCGTTTCAAATATGTTTGTCCGTAGCGTGGGAGTTCGTCAGAGATGTGTCTTAACCCCCTTGCTGTTTTAATTATTTATTAATGATCTTGCTGATGAAGTAGAAAAAAATCCTGCTATCGTGACATCCAGATTTTACTCATTTATTATTAGTTTTGTTTGCGGATGACGTTGTGTTTTTTAAAAACGATGGTATCCTGTCTAGACGTGAGAAATAGTATTTTAAGGGGAAATCGCATTGAATGTCTTTTCATCTTACTGACTTCAGAAAATGCGTGATTTCATTAAAAATAACATGAACATGCCAAAATGTCAATTTACAAATCAATAGTGTGTGTGTCCACCTCTGGTTGCGATGCAAGCAACACATCTTCGTCTCATGGAATGGACCAGGCGTCCCACAAAGTCCTGTGGGATATCTGTCGATATCTGCTGGAGCATTTTTCGAAGTTCCTGGAGTGTCTGTGGAACACGTGGTTGACGTCGAAGGCGCCGATCCATCTCATCCCACATGTACTCGATTGGTGAGAGATCAGGGGAGCGAGCTGGCCACAGGATGACTTTCGCGTTATTTTGTTGAAGAAAATCCTGAACAAGTCGAACAATATGAGGCCGGGCCTTGTCATTTTGAAAGCTTATGCCTGGGCCATGACGACGCAAAAACAGTAGAACAACAGGGTCGATTATCTCTTCGCGGTAGCGCTGTCCATTGAGATTTCCCTCTACCACTATCAAACGGATCCTCTGTCTTGCTATAATCCCACCCCATACCATAACGCTGCCGCCCCCGAACCGATCTTCTTCCATGACACAATGATTGACGTAACGTTCACCTCGACGTTCGATACCCTCGAATCCGCCAATCGCTCTGGCTGAGGTGAAAACGAGACTCGTCAGTGAACTGTAGACGTGCTTGACGGTGGTTTCCTGTCAAAATGGGACGTCTGGCGGGTCTTCTGGCGACAATCCCTGTACATCCGAGGCGGCGACGTACGGTTTGTGAAGATATTCGTCAGGAATGCATCTTGCAGTCACTGTTGCTGGCTGGAATCGATTTCGTAGGTGTGTTGTTCGAATCAAGTTGTCTTGTCGATTATTGGTTACATTAGGCTTTGCCACTCCGAGGATGGTCTCTGACTGCATTCGTCTGTTGTCAACGTTGCCATAAACACCAAATGGTGTTTCTATGGAAGTTAAATTGTCTTGCAACATCACGTTGACTCGATCCTGCTTCAAGCTTATCAATGGTCTTGCAGACGCTCATTTTCGGACAGGCTTGGCATTTCGTAATGCTGAATAATTGCGTAATTTTTTTTTTTTTTCTCAGTGGTTGTTGTCAGCACGGTGCTAAACAATTCATAAGGAATCCCGTTAACGCACATGTTTTTTTGCCCATTCTTGGGTAGTGAAATGCATAGGGCTTGCATAAAAGTCAACTTTTGCATGGAATGCATGCTTTTTTGTAGTAGTTGCGTTTTTGTGACTTGATTCCAATACTGAAAACCAAACTTTACTTGTTTGAAAATACACTATCATATTGTTGTCACAGAAACCGTTGTTGTTGAGTATATATAAATAATGAACAGATGGTAATTGATTGTTCAAACTTCGCACTCATCATTGTTATTGAACCAGGTTCCATATGGCACACATGGAACAGTAGATGGTCAAGCTTAAGGTCATCTGTTCTCGTTTTCCCATGTAAGCAATCATGCTTTTGCCAACTGCCGGAGGTTCTGGGGTTGTTGCTGACGTGTTCGATTGGGTTTAAATCTGGAGACCTGGAGGGCCATTGGTGGACCTGGATGTTGCGATTTTCCTAAGAAAGTCTGTTGTCAGTCTTGCCTTATGGGCAAAAACTCTCACCCGTGTAACGTTGTGCCGTTAAATTCCCCAGAACTTGCCATAAGTTTGATCAACCAGTGGAGGAGATGGCCGCCCACATCATTATACTGCCATCACCAAATCTTCCTACTTCCTGAATGCAGTTTCGTGCATAACATTCCCCGCGATGCCTATAAACATGGCGTCTACCATCTGCCCGCCAAGGCATAAAACGTGAGTCGTCACTAAATCAAACTTGTCTACGTCACAATTGTGGCCATAATCTTGACACGACTGACGTTGCAGCCGACGATGCAGGCACGTCAAACACATCGAAATGGTCGTCTAGCACGAATACTTTCAGCGCATAAACGGTTTCTCATAAACGATATCCTACGGAATCCTGGCATTGCCGTAGTTGTAGAGGTGACCATTGTGGTACTGTAGGAATCTCTCCTGTGCTCTAGTTGAAATACGTGATCGACCGGATCTGAGAATGTCCCGTGTTGTCCCGTGTCTGATAACGGTTCCACAGTCTTGTATTGGTGCTTGGTGGCAAAACCTGGCTACAGCCGAAGTTTATTCTTCTGTTTGCAGTTGGTCGATGGCGTCGTTGCTGTTGGCTTCGCCAGTCGTGGCATGATTTCGCTGTTCACTGGCTGTAAGATTGTGATGGCATGCAAATGAAAACAATTTTATAGCCAAACAAGTGATGTTGCTTGTGCATGTCGTATTGGTGTGTTTCGGCGTCAGGCTCTCACGTGGTTGTGGCATTGCGATTTTCCCATCTTTTCACCAATTTCGGCAGTATCACATTTTTTCCACACAAATCAATCTCAATTCATGCATAAATTACCAATTCATTTTTGTTTTGTATGAATGTCGGCAACACTCTGTCCGATATTTACGTTATTATTATTACTTTTGCATTTAATTTTTTGCAGTGTATATCTTTTAAACATTTCTTTCAAATATTGTATATACCAGATGCTGCTGTAACTATACCTATATTGCATTATGGACTGTACTGCCACAACTTAACTGAAAGTTGACATACTTATTGTATAGTATCTGTACTTTTGGCCACATGGCCTATTTGCTGAATAAACTTGTCTTGTCTGTCTAAACCTGGAATCCCCATGAGGGGTATTATTAAGAACATCAATTTGCAATTTACGCATGTATAGATACGAAATATTCATGCTGTTTTGTAGCATAGAAGCTTCTATTGCTTATGGCTGCATATTGTTTTTGATGTTTTAATCATGACCTAACAGTCGGGTGAGCTACAAAGAAATGATGCCTTTCCAAGTATGTTGACATTCAGGTATTACATATGTAACATTTTGAAACACAAATCTCATTTCAGGAGTGGGTGTTCTGGGCCAGGAGTGTGCCGTGGGGAAATATGGAGAACACTGTCAACTGAACTGCAGCCGTCACTGTGCCCCTTATTCCGGCCAGGATGTTCACTGTCACAGACACAGTGGCAAGTGTTCTGAAGGATGCATCCCGGGCTGGTACGGTGATCAGTGCCAACTGTCCTGTAGCAGGAACTGTCAGCAGCACATCTGTAGTCAGCAGACTGGTCACTGTACCTTGGGTTGTAAAGGAAACAACATGGGGGATTTCTGTGAGACACCTATAGGTATGTACAGAGTGGGGTTCGGAATCACAAACTATTGTTCTACAGCAAGTTAACTGTCAAAATATGGTCATTCTCTTTATGCCTGACATATACCCTGTCTTTTCTGACTCAAAGCTTTCTGTCATTTACTTCATTGATGGGTAAAGCAAGGTTTTATTGAAGATCGCCTTATATTGTTGGCCATAACTATTTGTTATAAACTTAGGATGTTCGAGATCTACACTGAAACTTTAAATGGATGCATGGTCTCAGAAATGTGCAAAGAATTCTCAATTTTTCTATGCACATATGCAGAAACATTTGTTATTATCCAACTGGAAGAGGTATGTTCTGAATAAATGTTTCGACAATATCTCACCAAACTATCATTTTCCTGTAGTTTCATATGAGGCGCCACTTAAAAAAATGTACATTAGGTGTCAGGCGTTCCTTATTGAGCCTAAGCCATTCAACAACTCAATAGGAAACTTTACTCTAACCCTACGGAAACGTTAGTACCTGTATCTGTAGCTGACTCCTGCTAATATTCTACGTTTGTAGAAAGCAGGATGACAGTAACTTATATTTCAAGGGCAGCTAACTCTGTCAGTGACCTTCTTCCGGGGTGTGTTCGGGCGAGCTGTTTTCACTCTGTTGTATGGATATCTAAGATGAGCAAATTGCACACTGTCATAGCAAAATGAGTATATAACATATTGTCTTCAATATGTTAACACTTTGTCTTCAATTCGTCACTGTTACGGTTGATAATGCACAAGCATTATTTCGCACTCACTAAAACACTCAACAACAGTTTGGTGCAGACACTTCAAGTGTTTTATATGTCTCCATTTTCCAAGCATGGCCTGTTACTCAGGTTAATTGAATCATGGTTCAAGGTTCAAGATGCTTGCTTTGGAGTGGTATCACTTTCTCAAAGGTATTCTATCATATAGGCTAGAACTATTGAGTCAAATGTATTATTTTACAGAAAGTGGTCCAAAACAAGGTGAAAACGAGACAGCACAAGAACCTGCCTCAACACCAGTGGCTGCAATACTTGTCCCTGTGTTCACCATACTCATCATCATCATCATCGGCACTGTGATTGTACTCGTCTTTAGACACAGAAAGTATGAATACATTATACTCAAAGAAGGTTCACTGGTAGCACACACGGAAGTGAGCAGTTAAAATACACAGTCGTAAAATCACAAGTAAAGAAAAACACTGCCACAAGTTTACCCAATGTTTACTAGATACTGCAAACAATACACAAGCAACAACATACTGAGAAGCATTGCGAGATAGCTTAACACTTCCAGTCATAAACGGATTGTTTCCTAATTCACAAAAAAAAAATGGGCATTTCTAATGTCAAAGTGTATCGGTTCCTGCAGTGACATTGTTCCTTTGTACTATTTTCTCTGGATGAATTACTCCCTATACACTCGGGTTCAACCACGGATAGCAATTAGAACATTTCAAACGTATTTCAACCATAAAAAATCACCTACATAGTCACCACCTACCTATAATGTACCTGAAACCACCATGTGAATAGAAACCCTCCAAAAGTGACATAGTGTCACCAGAGCTTACTCTCAGAGTCCTTTTCCCACCATGACCAAGTCGAGGCTGACTTCAAATCTCCCAGCCAGCCAGTCACAGCTCAGCACACATCCTCAGGCAACCCCAGGGGTCCATTTTAGGTTACAGATTGTATATCTTCACTTCGCCTCAACTATACCATGGGGGTCCTTTCAGGGTTGCAAAACGTTCATTACACATGATTTGCCAAGAACCTTTCAATGATAAGATACTTATATTCTACTGCTCGAGGCCATAAACCATGGCTTGTGATGTGTGAACACTGCGTATGTTACATCCGTAGTTTCTAAGGGCTCAGTCACACATGCAGGATTTTTACTGCCGTCTAGGACTATTCACGATTAAAATTTGTCAAAAGTCTGATCAAGATCCTGTGATTCGTGGCGGGAAATTCACAAACAATCAGATATTGTTCAGGAAGCGTCCCGATTCAGCCGTTTCAAGCCAAATTGGTCCCAATTCTCACATTCTCAGTCCGAATCTGATCCGAATTGTATCTTCCGCATGGTAAAACACGACCGAATCTGTCCCGACAGCGTCCAGATTCTCCCGAATGCGATCCGACAGAGATCAGACAGTGACCGGACAGTGAACCGACAAAAACTGTTCGCATTCGGCCTCAATCGACAAGAAACGGCAATGACTAATTCATGCCCGTTCATTACGACAGCGTCCTGATCCACAGGACGCCGTCCAGATAACACAGGACATTGTTACGATTTTGATCCGATACAGCAGAATCTGTCACGACATAGTCACGATTGTAATCCGACTAGACAAAATCGGCTGAGTTTTCCGAATGTTACGGGACGCACCATACTGTCCGGATTGCTTGGCCGACCTCTCTGGACCTTTCCCGATCCGTAGGACTCTGTAACGAACATATACGACTGCTTTCAGACAGTTATAGGGCAATTCAGATCATTGATGATAGCAATCCGACTTTTTCACTTTGCGTGTCGTGGCGCTATCTGATCTCAAACGGGAGTCATAATCGGCTCTGTGTGAACCTGGCCTACCAATTACTTTGATCCTTGCATGACATGCTAGACATGTTAGACTGGCAATAAAGCTGACAAGTTGTGTTTGTTACTCTCAGCGCAACAAATAAAAAAACAATCCTTAGTTATCAACTGTGTTACGATAGACAGTAATCACAACAGCAATCAAGATCACAGAAACAGATCTTGAGCATTATTTAATGATAATTTCATGATTTGAATTGATTGTCGCATTACTTATGTTATGTGTTATTCTGTTTCAGTTCTAATCAGGGTAAGTATTTAATCAGTAGTTGAAAAATATCAGTGATTACCAACACTAAATAGTCCCACTATTACAGTCGAGGGAATTCCCTTTCTGCTCACGTGTATCGTCATACACAGGACATTAAGCGAAATTCATGCATATTTATTGTCCAAACTACCCTCCTTTGAGACCGAAGGCCGAGAAGGAATGAAAACAGCAAACGTGTAGGCTTCTTGCCTGTTTTTTCCCGCCCGCCTTGGTTCCACAACTATCATTTCTTTGAGTTTCATTTCTAACCGTATTTCTCTAACTGTGTCTTCCCGTTCTCAGGGACCTAATGTTTGAATCTGGCGGAAACGGACCATGTCATTTGAAACAGCCGCCTTCTCCCGGACATATTTGTTACGGTTCGTTACAGTCTGACTGTTGCAGTTCTTCTCGCCTCCTGCCTGGAATGATGTGTGGGCGTGTCAATGTGCATAAATTGCATATCTTCAAAGACAGTTTACATAATGCCGAAGACATTTCCGACAAGACTGTGAATTGCTCTTGGGTCTGTATTGCTCTTGGGTCTGTATTGCTCTTTGGTCCCTGGACAGCCAGTGAACAGGGTTTAATCGTGTATGTATATATATAACCCGGGTTCGATTCGATATATATATATATATATATATACGTGTGTGTATATGTGTGTGTGTGTGTGTGTGTGTGTGTGTGTGTGTGTGTGTGTGTGTGTGTGTGTGTGTGTGTGTGTGTCAGGCTTCCTTCAGTTACTGTACTCAAGGACGGTACTAAACTATAAATCAAATATAACCCCCAAGCGGGGTTACTTTTAATATGCAACCAAGAACAAAAGATGAGGCTCATATGTAACAACAATTTTATGTAAACTTTCAATACTTTCTGTGAAGAACCTTACAAGTATCATCTTTTAAGTAAAATAAACGATTAAAATCAAAATCCAATTTTGTCGCAACTAAAAAAATATATCCAAAAGAGACTAACAGGGTTTGACATGTATGGAGACAATTCTCAGAAAGTTTGGAAATTTAATTCCGTCGGTTCAAAGGAGTAAGGATTTGAAGACATGTACGCAAAAAACATTATGAAAACCCTGAATCCAATATGGCTACAAAACCACGTGACCATTGACCAAAGTCAAAGAACAAAACGTGAAGCACCTCAATCAGCAGACACATGCAAAGTGAGAAAATATTCGAACAAGCAGTTGCGGAGCAATAGGGCGAAGTATATCGTAAGCCAAATACTTGTTTTTTAGTTATCTGCCCTTGGTTATTTGGTCTTTATTCTTGACATGCAGCAAAGTAAACCATATCTGGAAATAACTCGAACGCTCGCTGTACGAAAACGGTCAAATCAAAATCAATATGAACTTTATTCGTGTTGTGCTTTGTTATCCAAGTAGAAACAACCCAGTAAACATCATTATTATGCTTTTCAAAGACCCGATTTTGAGAAGTATGCTCATCAAAGTATTCTATCATTCAAGGTGTTGCAGAATGAAGTGGAACTGTATAATAATCTTGGTTCTCAGGCACCGCCCGTATCATCATAAATCACGCCATACGTTATGCTTTTCTTTCCATTTTCAAAAAGAAAGTCCTTAAATATTCCGTGTATCGTACACATGTCCCCGGCAGTGAAATACTACAATACTTCAAATCAATGCGATCCAATTTAGCGTGCAGTTGCATCCCTGTACATGCGCACTGCTTTACTGCGCATTTCGTGTAATGGTCATGGCGGCAATATGAGTTTGTGTGCTTGTTATGCCGTTTGCAAATTTGGTCAATGAAAACATGATATTTACGATAAAATATCACCAAACATGATGATATACAAATGCAATGGTATGTGTGTACTGTATCCCGGACAATGTTTCACAGCAAAGATTAAGATGACATGTGTATGTGTATTTGTAGTCAAATACTGTATTCCAGAATTTTACTCATCAAGAAATACATTTGTGTAGGTAGGCCCTTTCCCATGTTGACTGTACACAACTGTTTGGTTACATACTGGTTTGAACAACCCCAAAGAAATAGCCACCGCAAGCCGCCACTTTCAAAAGCCATTGCCAAATAGCCATATACTATATATGATTACTAAATGTTCTTCCTTACCAAGCTGTAGTTTAGATAACACTGTATATTGTGTTTCAAATATGGTTTGAGACAATCACACTAGGTTCTAAGACAGATTCTCTCATTTCCTCAGGTGGTGTGGATGATAAAGAACTGCTTAACCCTGGTGAAGGTATGGACACAGACACACGTATTTATGTAATGTCAGCTCACCTGACTGAAAGCTAGGTAAGCTTATGTCACGGCATTAAGTTCGTCCGGCATTTGTCATTCGTCATCCAGCATAAACATCTCTCCCGAGAAGCCACCAAACCACAGAAGCTGGAACTTCACATACTTCTTCTCACCAATGATGACAGCCCAATTGTTTAAGGGACTTGAATCCGATTTTCACTATAGCCACCACGGCAACCATTTTTAAAATGATATTTGTGGCCATTACTCAGTCATCTTTGTTCAACATGGAATGCAATTTGGTCCATGAGTAGTTAGAGGTGGTTTCACTTTGACCAAACAAAAAACTCATTACTCGGCCATTTTCGTTCAAAATGTAATGAAATTTGGTATATGTGTTGTGGGTAATGGGGCTCCATTTTCGCAATATTTTTAATTTTTATCATATTTGACTTTGGTACTTTGACCATGCTTCTAAATTAAACATCACCTCAGAACCTACTGGACCAATGAAGCTGAAACTTCATATGTCAGTTTTTCCTCACTGTCTATGCATGAATAGCAGTGCCGACTGCAACAGTTATTAAGATGCTGTCTTTTCTTTGACATGTTAAACTGCTAATTACATATCCAGGTGTGCTACAGTGCTGTGACACTAACTTTACTGTGTTTTTTATGGTCTTATTTGTATTGTTTTCGTAATTCTTGAATTATCTTGGCTATTAATAGCATATATATGAAGATAATAGAAAGAAAATTCACTCAAAAACACCAAATTCAATAATGCACATAACATTTCTACAACAGCTCAAATCTGTTTTTCTCTTCCAATCTATAATGCCTTTATCCATGAAGTTGGAACATACTGCCCACGTTAAGGATGAGGTGCTGTTGCCGTAGTATTCTGTCTCAGTGAGCATTCGAGGTCAGAGTAGAACCCTATTTATTCTCGTTTGTCGTAAGAACTGACCAAATGTGAGTCCTCATTCATTCACGTTGCGCGAATTGTTATCTGTCTCAGACTTGATTATTTAAAGACAGCCCTATTATGAATTGAATTTTGCTGGCTGTGGCATTTTTTCACTCGCCAAAAATGGTACGAGGTGCTGATGTTATTTACGTTCAACAATTAATGTTGTATAAAAATAATATACAACTCGCATGATGTCTCCTTTGTGTTGCAGTGGACACTGACCTCATCGTTGCCTGCAAGGAGGGGAAACTAAAGGCAGTCAAAGACATCCTGGATCAGAGTCTGGAGGACATCAACAAGAAAAGAAAGGCTGTGGTGGGAGGACACCAGTGATGTGGGCAGCAAGAAGGGGACACAGAGAAGTGCTGGACTTGCTTGTGAGAAAAGAAGCTGATCTGAAACTTGTGGATGATGCCAGTAACAGTATCCTTCACTGGGCCTGCTATGGAGGGAATATGGCAATGGTGAAACACATCATCTCAAAGAACATGGTGGACATCAACAGTAAGGGGCAGGGTGGGAGGTCCCCACTGATGTGGGCAGCTCGGGAGGGGAAGAGGAAAATTTTTGATGTTTTTTTTACTAAAGGGGGTCTTCTATCAGATGTGGACAATGACGGAAACAACATCCTTCTTCTAGCCTGTTTGGGTGGGAATGTGAAGATTGTGAACAACATCCTTTCCCTTGATGCTGCAGGCATCAATGTTAAAGGACAGTCCAACTGGACACCATTGATGGCAGCAGCACACAATGGACATGGAAAGGTGTTTGACTTACTTGTGAATACAGGAGCTGATCTGACAGTATTAACCAATGCCGGTGATGACGTCCTCCACGTGGCCTGTGTGGGAGGACATGTGGATATTGTTAGCCGTGTCCTCGAGCAAGACAAGTTGGACATAAACAGTCGAGGCCAATGCAGCAGGACACCACTGATGGTGGCAGCAAGCCTTGGACATAAGCAAATATTTGATTTACTTGTGAATAAAGGAGCTGATACAACACTGGGGGATTTTCATAGTAACAACATCCTCCATCTGGCCTGTGAGGGAGAGCATCTGGAGATAGTGCAGTATATCCTCAAAGAGAAGATGGTGGACCCCAACGCCAACAACGACCATAATCAAAAAGCAGAGATGCTGACGACAAACAGAGATATACAATGCAAGATTCTTCTGTCACGTCAGAGGATCAGTGCTTGCCTGTAGCCTTAAAAGAGGCTGTACAGTCATACCCAGTTATATTGGTAATAACATTGTACAAGCACACTCATTCTCAGTAAATCTTCATCATAGAACGGAATTGTTATCTTGCTTCGTGTAACTTATGTAATGAGGCTTGGAGAATGTAAACACAAGATTGTCAGCTGTACTGACAGTTAAAGCGCTCGATTCCAAATTAAAATAAGCAGTCTCTACAGTGGGACTACATGAAATTTCAAAACACAGTAGGTACATCTCCTAAGTACCCCCTCAGTTGCAAGTCTAGCATTTTATTTAAGAGAATATGCATGATATGCAATAATAAAGGAGAAGTTACATCCTCCAAGTTACAGTTGTAAGCAATCTGTATTTCCTCAGTACACCTTTCTACAGAGAAGAAAAATATGCTGATTGTCAATGACTTTACTTTATACCAATTTTGCTTTATAACGAGAAAGGGGATATTAATTCAGCATGTCCTTCAGGTATGTATTTTGATGTATGGACTTCAAAGCAAAGACAAGTCATCTTTGTTGATGATATCAGCAGCTTACTGCGAATGAACTGAATTATTCAGAGTGGCACAGGGCCAGAAACGCTGAATCTAGATAAAAGGAAGAACTTGTGGAACAAATCCCTTGTGTACATGTAACAGAGTTGAAAAGTATGTTATTGGTAATTATTTGGTGGTGGATTTTAAGTTCAAAATCATTAATTTGGTATTCTCAAGATACATGAATCCTTCCCACAACCCAATATGGATCCCAAATCCACACTGAGCCTCATAGTTAGTATAAGGTTCATTTTTAAACAATACGTGTCGTCACATTTGATTGTCTTAAGGTTTATTCAACTAACTTAGGGCCATTTTGATTGGTTTAGTAATGTAAGTGTTTTTCATGCTTTTAACATGACACATACTTAATCACTTGGCAGGTAACATTAGGAGATGGAACATCTTTTCCTTCCTGGGAATGAGAAAACATTTTAGTTTAGTTTAGTTTGTTTCAGTAAAGTTGTTTTGTAAAAAAAACAAATATGAATACAATGATTGTATTGTTTTACACTTTGTAATAGTAGTTTAATTATTCATGCAATTTGATAATAACTTACCTTTGAACACTTCAAGTGTGTAGTTGTGAATAACTGTTCATAGTTTGCAGTTTTGGCAGTTTTGTCTATGCAGTTATATATTGTACTAATCGGTATATTTGATATACTGCAAGTTTGATTAACGGCAGCTGATGACCAAGTCCCTGCTCATGAGACTATGTAGTTCAGTCCATAGTTGGTAATACTGTTGTATTAATTCATAATATGGTAAAGTTACAGTATAAAAAGACATTGTGCTAATATTTCTATTGTAATTTAGCAGTCACTTGTCAATTATGATTTTTAAATGTTTAATATTTTGTGATGTCATTTGGATATTAAGTTATTCTGTATGTTTTATGCCATTGCAAACAAATATGACCAACATCTATAACTTGCAACCACTGATAGGATTGTAGATGTAATTGGCTATATCAGTTTCAGTTGGTTTATCGATTGTTGTATTGAATGTGAATAAATTCGATTCGATACGTATTTGATGTGATAATGTTGACAGGACCACTGTGTGAACTAGATTCATCCGTTACACGCGGGTGTAGGGAGGCATTCGTGGATTTAGGGTGCAAGTTTCATTTACTCGGAAATGAGAAATGCTACCAAACATGAAGGCCAGCCAGATAGGAACAGACATGTGTAGATGATGGAGCACAGTCTGCAGTATGTCTGATGTAATTTCTGTTTGAGAGGCGACCCCAATAATCTGGTATTGCTCTTTTCCTGTCCATGTCCTCCAGATAATCATGCATGCCTTGCTCTAGTGAGTTACCACCGCCTTACTCGTGATGCATCACGGAATGATATTTATGAAGGCAACACATATTTCCTCTCGGGTTGCACACGTCTTTCACGAAAACATTAACAGAACCAAACATAGCAAGTTTTTAACCAAGGGATAAATTTGTATGGTTCTTTCTGCATCAGATGACATCTTGCCACTGCTAGACCAATGGTCGGGCATTATGCATGTGCGCGAAACACCTCATTGCAACCCATTCATCTGGATAGCCTGCTGTGTGAAGATCTGTTTTAAAGATTATACCTGATGCTGATACTGATGCTTTTAAGTGTAAGTTGTAGGTAGATAAAACTCCTCAGCCAGACTAATACTAGTTTGATGCAAGCTGTTCCTTTGTTGATGAATTGACCTCGAACATATTTGTGTGTCCACCAGACCACACACGACACCACTAGCTAGCTGCCAAGTAGATAGAAAACAGACATGTGCTTGTTGCTTACGTTCTACAAGTCAGATTGTCAGTGTATGTGAACAACAAGACGCACGTCTCCAACCGGACAAACGAGTGAAAAGTATACAAGAGGTGTTTCCCTTATACCATACAATCCTTCAGGTGATATTCCAAAACCCTGTTAAGATGCTGAAATACATAAAACACAATGAAACATGTAAAATAGTTCATTTAAAATAAATAAATTGCAAGTGATTCCACGTCATTTGATTGGATAGCCAAGTAATTGCACTTTAGCGGACTACTGTTTGCTGATAGTCTGATAAATATAATAGGTCAACGCCAGAGAATAACCAGTCTTGATTATCCAACGAAGCGGTTTAGTCTCTGTTTGGTCCGACTTGGCTGGGGCAGACAAAATCAAGCAGTATCATCAAGTGTGTTTACATCTATGGAATAGTATTAGCACTACCTATGTATCGCTTAATAATGTCACAGCACATCGTATTTGAAGAAACTTGGTTGGTTAAAGTCACGCCCGTTTACTATATTTTCTCAAGAAAATCTGTTACATGTCATATGTGTTTCCTCAGACTTGACAGCCCGAGCCAAGACGGACCGAACACTTGTGAGATTATGTAAGGGTATGGGGAAAAGAGCTTCACTTCAACCAACGTGTCTGCTTCAAATAAGATGAACAGTGAAATTATTAAGTGGTGTTTACTTAGATATAGTACAATTCTGTAAATATACTCACACGCAAAAGAAACGCAAGTGGTTTTAAGCAAATAGGTAACAAAAACCGAACCATAAATTGATACGAGTTTTAGCATGTAGTGAAGCCTGATGGTGTTATCAATAGTTTTGCTTGCATTTTGGAAGCCCCGAGTAAAAACGCAACATAAAAAACGAATCGCCAAAACGCACCATTTCAACGAATATGTGGGTATCATGCACCCATTTCTCGCGAACTCGAAAATGCACGAAATGTCACGAACTGTAGTGGGTATAAAACTGTGGCCGATTCTTGGACCTACCACTCCTTGGTCAACAATGCCACGCCTAACTCAAATTCAGAGAAACCAGGCTATCCGACGTTTGGAAGCTGGAGTCTGTTCAAGAGGTTGCCCGTCATTTCAACGTAAACATAACCACAATTTACCGTCTCCTGCATCAATACAATGCAACACAGACCACAGATGACCATCCTCGGAGCGGTCGTCCTAGGGTCACCACACCTCGACAAGATCGGCAGATTGCCCGTCAACACCAGCGACATCCGTTCCTAACTGCAAGTGAAAGTGCTCGACAGACCATAGGAACACATAATCGACACATTAGCCGGGACACTGTGATCCGACGTCTTCGTTCCAACAACCTCGAGCTCAGATGTCGCCAACCAGCACGTCGTCCTGTTCTCCAACCAAGGCATCAACAAGCACGACTTCAGTGGGCACAGGGTCATCGCAATCGGCGTCATCGTGAGTGGAGGCGTGTCATCTTCTCAGATGAAAGTCGCTTTTGTGTCTCCCATGCAGACGGAAGAGTCAGAATTTGGCGGCGTCGAGGTGATCGTTTCGCTGACAGAAACGTTGTGGAAATGGATCCATGGGGTGGACCTAGCGTCATGATATGGGCAGGGATTGGACTTAATGCGAGACTTGGACCCATGTGCTTTCTGAATGTTGGTCAAAGTCGGGGACACGGCGTCACTGCTCAGCGGTATATCTACCAAGTGATCAGACCCCACGTTGTTCCATTTTTTGCACAACATCAACAACACAATTTCCAGCAGGACAACGCTCGTCCCCGTGTTGCCTAAGCCACCATGCAACAACACAACACCCGTCTTCTACCGAGGCCAGCCCTCAGCCCTGATCTGAACCCCATCGAACACTCGTGGGATGAGGTTCAAAGTCGTCAGCACAATGTGCGCCCAGTCCCTACAACTGCCGATAAACTACGCACAGCTGCTCTGGATGTGTGCAGGAGGATCCCTCGGGCCTTCACAAATCGTCTGATCCACTCAATGTACAGGAGATGTGTGGCAGTGATCAATGCTAATGGTGGTCAAACCAGGTATTGACTTACATTTTGGGTATTGACCCGAAACTAAGCCCTTAACATTTGAAAAAAAACAACTATGTCTTCTGCCTTTTAATCCATTAAACTGTCTTTAGTCATTTTTTTGTCAATCTTGCCCTATTAGTATTTCTTGTCTTTACTGTTGAAAATAAATAACATGTATACTGCATACTCGACTTGCGTTTCTTTTGCGTGTGAATATATAAACACTATGCCGACAGATGGAAAATTGTATCACGATAGTTGGAAGTATTCGATGCGTTTCAAATCCTATTTTGTTTAACGATTCGTCTTTTACAAGTAACCTAGCTCGGCGAGGGTTACAGACACCTCGACTTCCTGATTTTCAAGCGATCTGCTCGCAATATCGTTATTATGCTGCACGTTTTTTGGATTGTGATTGTTCATTAATGTCATGTGCGTATGTTGCAGCAATGACATGTAGGATGGTCGTCGATAATGGAGTAATTAACCGATAATAACCTTGGTCCGTCTTCGCCCGGGTCGGGCTGACTTGTTGGCAATCCCAAATTAAGGGGAGGGGAGATATATCAAATCCCCAACTGACTCAAGTTTCAAGGTACTTTTTTCCAATGTCTGTGCAACATCATCATTTCTGCCATTCCTGGTTGTCGGCCATTACTTAAAACAGTTGATGGCCCATATGTTTGACTTACGACAAATGTGAGTGGTGCTGCAAACTTGTTATAACTATGACACCATGGCTCAGTATAACATATTTAATTGAATGTCAGAAATTGAGGGAAATACGAGTTTGATGATTCTCAAAGATTAACCTTTCCAAGGAAATAACATACTGTGTCTTTTGCTTCAAACGTTTGAAACTATTTAAGACTTGACTCCTGTCCACATCATTACGTGGAGTAACCCAGGAGAAATAAACATCTAAAAGTAACTATCAACTAAATCATCACAAAATCTCAGAAATATCGTTAGTTTACATATCCCAAATCGATCGCTTTCATCTGTGGAATCCTTTCGTCTGACACAGCCGAGCACCAGAATCACAATGGGAGACAACAATTACTGCAGAAGCTCCAACTCTGGTAAACAATCTTCCGCTTTCTCTTTGGAAAATCTCCTCACAGGCAGCTGTCAAGACCCCTGGTTATTAGGGCTTCAAGACATCATGGCTAAGGACCCTTTCGTAATCGTTCTGTTTGTTTGTTTGTTTAGATACATCTTTCCGAGGCAAGGGAGTTAACTGACTGTAAAGTCCAATTTCCAACCTTGCCGAACAAGACTGGAATTTCTGGGCTCGATCGTGATGCGACCAGTAGCGATTACGAGGTATGTCCCTTCTATGGCCCTCCCATTGACCAATCAGATTCCACCTCTCCTAGTACTTGTATTTGCTTCAAATGAAATGGTGAGTCAAGACGATTTGATCGATCATCAAGAGCTATATTGTAATAAAAGTCGCGAAGTGTATCAAATCACGTGAGCGCCTTGATTAAAAAAATGAAAAGATTTTGAAAATATCTGTTGAACGCTAATTTGTCGGTACATATGCTTCGCCAATCGACCACAATCTGCACGGCAGTTTACGAACCAAAACTGAACCGGATGTCGATTTCGTTACGCGATTTTGATTGGACAACACACAGAGTCGTTAGTCCGGCCAAAATATAACTCCATAATTCCAGCCTAGTTCGGCCTTGGTGGAAACTGGACTTTTATAGTCAGTTAACTCCCTTGACTCGGGAAGATGGTTTATACACTATTCCGCCATTTTGGTACCAGAGATAACTCAATAACAAGTGGCCTGATCGTCTCAAAAGAAATCATGCACATGTGGGCCAATGAACTGTCGCAAAAACCTTAGGTCAATGACTAAGGGCAGATAATGCAAAATTAGATAATTGAAAGCTAATTTCAGCAGAAGTTATCTCCAAAACCAACCTTCCGGTGGCTTCCTCATTTGGCATCCGGACAACGGATTATCATGATGCTAAATTCAGGGAATACTAATCTGGTTGAGATCAGCATTTGTTTTAAAACTTAAAACATGTGCTCCTTTCTTTTTAAAATACAAATAACGAGCTGTGCCCGCTATTATAGTCTTCTGTATATGTTGGACAGGTCACCGTTTAATAAAAGCTGTAGTGAATTTGCAAGAATGGGCACATTATTTTTGTTCCAGTAATTCGAGGCATATTTTTTTTTTCAGTAAACATGGGCCTCTGGTTATTACAATTTATTCACTCGACGAAAGTACGAGTCTCCCTTTGGCGATTTGAGGGAGTCTGTCCCACTCCTCTAGCAGGGCCTGGCCAAGTTCAGCCAACGTGGTCGGCGGCCTATGACGTTAACGCACACGTCTCCCTATCTCGTTTCAGGCGTGTTCAATTGGGGAAACGTCTTGGCTCATTGCTAGCTATTACATTCTATGCATGTTGTGCTTCTTGGGTTTAGATTTGACAGCACGTGCACGGTGAGCACGGATGTTGTCATCCTGTATGATGTCCCGATAGTACTGTTCAGTGACCCTTCCTTGGACAACATGGAGTGGGGTTCGCTCAGTCATAGTGATGCCACCCAATACAATAACCTTTCCGCCGCCAAACCGTTCATGAGGTGTCAGGTTGACTTGGGGTTGACGTTCATTTCGACGTCGCCAGACAGAGAATCAGGGCTCTGAAAACATGACACGTGACCAGAAACGATTACCCCAGTTTCGACATTGTGTAAACCATTGATTTTTGTTGACAATATGACGATTTGTAAGGGGCGGCACAACACGTGACCGTCGAACATGGATATAAACTTCATGTACACGATTTCTAATCGTCTAATCCATAACTCCAGAAGTCAGATGAAAGTTTGCAGCAATGGTGTTTTTGGCGTTAAGTTTTAAAGACATAAGCGTTCTTGCATAGAATGTTTGTCGTCAACACTTATCATTGTTCTAATACTTGGTATTTACATTGATATTTCATGATCCCCTACTTCTCTTAAAAGCGTATATGTACTGTAAGTCCCTATGGACCCAGTATGGTGATCTACCATCAGTGGCTGGCGATCTATAGCTCATTTTTATCTTGCATTGTTACGTATGGTGTTTTATTTTTATGGTTATCTATTAGTTTTAAATAAAATCTTTGATAAATCTAGTTATTTTACTGTCCTTCGACGACAGGTTTTTATAGTCTAAATAAATCTGTTTCAATATAGTACTTTTTCTCGTCACGATATGGCTGAAATAATGCCGATGTGATGTTATTTGTTTAACTCACTCACCCACTCGCTTAAAGATGTTGGGTTAAAAGATTGTCACTCTCCGAAATTAATAGGTGGAATAAAGAACATTCTTTATGTATATTCATTATTGTTTACAATAACATTTATATTTCTTGATGCTCTACCTTTTTTAAAGTTGATAATGGTTATGATGTTTGGAGACTTGTCAGTGGAAACAACTGTAAACCTAACATAAAGGGCAGCCATACGTTGGATGACAGCTGCCTGGGACAGAAAGGGTATATTCAATTTATGTTTCCTCTTTTTCAGTTGGTGCAGTCTACAAATGACAACATCACTCACTGACTTAACCAACTCTGGAAGACATTCAACGGGTTCCTCTTCTCTTTTGCCCAATTTATTGGCATATGATTCGACAGCACCAATAATGATTTTAAAGTTGTGATCCGAAATGGTAGGAGACCGATCACGATATTTTGATCCATATTTAAATAAATGACGAAGGATGTTATTGACAACAGTAGAGAAGTCACATGTGATTTTATGACCAACAGGTTGTTAGCAGTATGCTGAGTCTTGGCTGTAGAAGTCGAATTTACATCATGAGCAGTATAGTCCACGCAACAAGATCCTATGAATGAACAACTTGGATGAAACGGTGTTGAGTAGGAAAATGAAACTGTGGGATCTTCACTTCACAACAAACCCATACCTAACTTCTGAAAAACATCTGTGCAGCTCACACATCTGTTTGTCCCACTTCTTTTAAAGGGGCGGTCGGGTAGCCTAGTGGTTAAAGCGTTCGCTCGTCATGCCGAAGACCCGTGATCGATTCCCGACATGGGTACAATGTGTGAAGCCCATTTCTGGTGTCCCCCAGCCGTGATATTGCTGGAATATTGCTAAAAGCGGCGTAAAACTAAACTCACTCACTTCTTTTACATGTGATCTCTGGTTTATAATCACTGTATGGAATTTGAAGTGGTGCCGAAAAAAAAGTCTGCGCCCACCAACGGACTAGTGTTTCCTGATTGATTGATAACATAATTGGCAGACATGTGATGCATTAATGCCCTGAAAGAAGCCACTGAATTCGTATTGTTGTCTACAGTGTTGTGTGTTAATGAGTAATTATCATTGTTGACGTAGTTATTTATAAAAATTGACTTCAATACGCAGATACATAATTTATGTTAATTTCTCAAATAACTGTCATATTATTGCCTGAAGCGTTAAACAAAGTGATCGGATCGGGTGATCAGACCTCACACATGCCATGCTAGTCGCCGACAGCCGGAAGATGAAACTGAAACCATGAATCAAGAGCAAACCATTAAAACACTGAAATCAGGCGACACACAGAGAATAGATGCGGTCGTCACTACCCAACACAACAATATGCATAAATTTCAAGTGTGTATATTTCGTTTTCAGGTGCACTATGGTATTGTGTTTTGGATTATAGTTGTGGCCTGTATGGCCGATTCCACACAAGGTAAGAAGGACGACGGACAAACGGACGAAGCAAGACGTAAACTCACCTAAATTAATTTTTCTCTCTGTGAGTGTAAATTGATAAAATACAATGCTTTTTCATACAAATCTTAATGTTTTGTGTTACTTCTGGTCAAAGCTTACACTAATATTGTTTTTGGAATATGTATCGCCATGGGGTGATCTGCATCATCATCAAATGTCATCGCATCACGACTGATGTTTAGCTCACCTTACATGTCCGTACGCCGGTCTGAAAGTCACAGACTGAGACCCATTGGCTGAGTTCTACCAGTGTGAAACATGCCAACAGCCCTTAGGAGTAGGAGTTGACGCAATCCCACACTGATCACAGATACTTCATTAATTATTTTTGTCTTTTGGAGTGTTAGTTTAAGTATTGTTAACTTTGACGTAAGATGTCCTAATTCATGTTTACATTATACCTTGTATCTGACAGGTGCGGGCTGTACAGAGGGTCAGCATTGTTCGGACTGCAACACGGCGGGCAAATGCTCACAAGATTGTGACAAGGGATATTTTGGACATAAATGTAGATCGCTATGCAGCACCACATGCAGATACAATACATGCACACTAGTTGCGGATAGAGGTATAGGCAAGTGTACTGATGGCTGTGTATCAGGATTCCAGGGCACAATCTGTGACAGACCCTGTGACCAGGTAGTCGAATGTACGCTGTGCCCAGGGGGATGTGATGTGGACTACTGCCAGCTGGGTGGGGCTTGTTTTGCCGGATGTAGAGATTCCTTCTACGGAGCAGGATGCAAGACGTGCCCCAGTCACTGCAGAACCTGCAACAGGATGACAGGAGTATGTGACGAGTGCGACCCAACACATCATGGAGTGAACTGCGAGAAGTCGTGTGAGAACTGTGCAGGATCCTGTGAGTCCAGCTGTGAATGTGTTCCTGGCTTCTACGGGGATTTCTGTGCCGAGACTTGCAGTAAAACCTGCCGCCCTAAGTCAGTCCACAAGTGTCTTCCATTTCCTGGCATGACGTCAGACAATTGTACAGGTGGATGTCACAAACACAGTGCCGAGTGTCTCCATGGCTGTGTGGATGGCTGGTTCGGGCCGACGTGTTCTTCTCCTTGTAATCCTCGATGCAGACATCAAAGATGTAATGCTGGAGGCTCTTGTGTTGAAGGCTGTGAACCTCAGTATTTCGGTTCAGCCTGTGAACCGTGTCCTGAGACCTGCGTCAACCAGACATGTGACTCTAACAACGGCTCCTGTGTAGCTGGGTGTCGTGACGGGTTGTATGGGGAACACTGCAATGAGACCTGTACGTTATGTCCTCGTGGTGTCTGTGATCAGCACACTGGTATCTGTGTGACAGACTGCAATGTCACCCAGGAAGGACGTCAGGTCAACTGTACACAGCCTTGCTCTTCACCAGAGTGCTCGACAGGCTATCGTAACTCCAGTGAGATATTTTTCAATCATAATTATAATGTGTATTGGTTTAGATTGATTCAAAATGTAACGCATAATGTTCGATTGTACGTTTCCTGATTAACTTTATACAGTATATTCATTTCATGAAGCATACAAACACAAGTGTAACAGTGTTCAGGCCAGTGTGTAAAGATAATCCACAAAAACCTTTTCATTATCATAAAATATCTCGACTAAGGCAAGGCTAAGTTTATCATTCACTATTAAATAGTGATGGTATCAGGTGTTCGCCAATATCGATGTATACATGACATTATCTTTATTTCACAAGAAGGATGTTTTCATTTGGCAGTTGTCCGCAGGTTCATGTTCATTTATTTTGCTTGTCAGGTCTTCCAAAGTGGCGGCATATCAGCACAACTACACTGACGTCGGTTGTGTGTGCAGTCGTCCTTTTCGTTCTGGTTGCAAGTTCCGTATGCTGTGTCTGTTTCCGCAAAGGTCCGTGTATACAAAGGTCAGTCTAGCTGCATTGTTCAGTCGTCTGTGTGTCGGGGTTCATCGTGTGCGTAAATATACGACTGGGTGAGTGAGTGAGTGACTAAATGAGTAATGTTTGCGAACACTAATGCAGCAACTAAGTTTCCATATCACGACGGCGTGTTGACATACAAGTGTTGACCAGACCAGTGACAGAGAGCACTAGCAACGACCCACGCCGCCGGAGCACGATGACACATAAATCGCCCAGTCACAACACGTCCGGCAACACGATCAACATTACAACAACAACACACGAGGGCACATGCATCTTCCCCAGGCAAGAGAGTTAACTGATTTTAAAACTGACTTGGCATTCTTGTTTATAGAAAATTCAAACACGTGTAGTTCAAACAGTTTGCCAGTTTCTTTCGGTCGACATGGCTGTCAGTCGCCTCAAGGTCACTAGCTCTCGTGACTACGAAAAGATAACCAAAGCTTTTTATCTGCACATTCTCAACAACATCAAACTGTGTAAACTGATTCTACAACAAGTAAGGTTTATTTGACTCTTTCAAGGGAGCATATGCCTTACCTTTTAACCCTCGTGGTGCCTGGTCGTCAGCCAGCTTTGATCACCGCTCAGTGTCGCACTGTGATGACGTCGCGGTTTCAAAAACGTATAATTTCATACTTTGAACTGTACACTGTTTCTTTCATGCTGATTGGCTGATTAGGTAGTCACGTGGTATTTGGAGTTCACACACCTGTGAACGGACTGAAAAATTCCACACGATGTGAACATTTCTTTTGTGAAATTGAACTTTTGCCGGAACTGCTTTCCAGGGTTTCCCCGAATTCTCGATCGGTGTTTACAATCAACCAGCTTTTCTACTTTCTTTTCAGTCTTTGCATTTATCAGCAATATAATTAATTTAGTATTTTTGCCTGGTCTTGTAACATTTCATCTGTCTTAAAAATAAATAAATACTTTGGTCTAGCTGCTAGGTGTCGTCTAGCTGCGAGATGAAACAAAATGGATTGTCCTTACGGTGATTTGGATGTGGAATGTCTATCTATCAATGCTAATAAAGCAAGTGAAGACAATGAATTCGGTAAAAGTACTGAGGTGAATGAAATTGATTTATGTAGCGATATTGACTTTGCAATTGATGCCTTAGTTTCGGAAAAGTCAGGAATCTAGCACCAAGACAATTGCGAATGAAAACAATGCCGTACCCTGCTCAGATGTGGCCGCTGACACAGGTCAAAACGACTGTTCCTGGTCAATCCCAAACAATCGTATCGGGAAAAACATCAAAGATTTTGAGAAACTATAACACATAAAAGGTTAGGAAAGAAAAGAAACTTAAATTAAAAACACAAAAACAAAACACTTGCCTACCTGGTTTACCGATTTGTCACTGGAGACGAGAACATATCTATGCTAGATAGTGCACACTGAAAATCAGTCAGAAATATAACTACAATAATGTGATCTAATCAGTTGTTTAACAGAACTGACCGCCTCCGTGGTCTTGTGGTAGAGCGTCCGCCCGGAGAGCGGAAGGTCCAGGGTTCGATCCCGGGCCGCGTCATACAAAGAGACGTTAAAAGATTGTACTTGTTGTTACCCTGTCTGGCGCTCGGCATTAAGGGGCTAAAACAAGGACTGGTCGGCTCGGAGTGAGTATACTGTGTCTGAGTGGGGTATTCATGTTAAACTGCGGCATGGTATCTCAGTGAGCTAGCACTATAAATCGGCATCAGTCCGGACTAGTACAAGCAGCCACACACACACATACACGTGCATGCACGTCGCTATATAAGTGCAATAATCTTGGACGCGACGTTAAACCCAATTTCACCTCACCTCACCTTTAACAGAACTATACTCAACAACAAAAGTTCCTGTGACACTAATATTTTAGTGTAATTTTCAGACAAGTATAGTTTGGTTTTCAATAGTGTAGTACATGTATGGAATCAAGTCACAATAACGCAGCTGCTACAGAAAAGAATGCATTCAATGCAAAAGTTGACTTTTATGCAAGCCCCAAGTATTTCATTAACCAAGAATGGGTATAAAAACATGTGCGTTAACGGGATTCCATATGCCTTGTTTAGCATCGTGCTGACAACAACCACTCAGAAAAACAACAAAATTACGCAATTATTAAACATTACGAAATGTCACGCCTGTCCTAAAATGAGCGTCTGTGAGCCATTGGTATGCTTGAAGCAGGATCGAGTCAACGTCATGTTGCAAGACAATTTAACGTTATTGCAACGTTGGCAACAGACGAATGCAGTCAGAGACCATCCTCGGAGTGGCAGGCCACGCGTAACCAATAATCAACAAGAAAACTGGATTCGAACAACACACCTACGAAATCGATTCCAGCCAGCAAAAGTGACTGCAAGAAGCATCCCTGGCCTTCAACGAATATCTTCACAAACCGTACGTCGCCGTCTCAGATGTGCAGGGATTATCGCCAAAAGAACCACCAAACGTCCCATTTTGACAGGAAACCACCGTCAGGCACGACTACTGTGGTGCAGACAGCGTCTACGCTGCACGGCCATGCAGAGGGGACAAGTTCTATTCACTGACGCGTCTCGTTTCCACCTCAGCCATAGCGATGGATGGATTCGAGTGTACTGACGTCGAGGTGAACGTTACGTCATTCATTGTATCATGGAAGAAGATCGGTTCGGAGGCGGCAGCGTTATGGTATGGGTGGGAATATAGCAAGACAGAGGACCCGTTTGATAGTGGTAGAGGGAAATCTCAATGGACAGCGCTACCGCGATGAGATCATCGGCCCTGTTGTTCTACCGTTTTTTCGTCGTCACGGCCCAGGCATTACCTTTCAACATGACAACGCCCGGCTTCATATTGCTCGACTTGTTCAGGATTCTCTTCAACAAAACAACGTGTTTTTTTAAATATGGATTGATACAAAACAGCTGATTCTTGATCAGCGACAGGTTATTTCTTGAAACAAATGATATACATAATGGAAACTATGTCATTCGTGAAGTTAATGTTTTAAATTCAACTTAAAACATTAATTTCACCCGTGACGTATTTTCCGTAATCACTCGTGCCTCGTGGGTTATTCTATAATTATTAGTCTAATAACAGGAAAAGAAAGACATAATCAACATGTAAATATATTTTTCTGACGTCAGAACTGTTTGTCGATCGCACGCATTGCCTTTGGAAGTTTCATGGATTATTCATACATCATTCGATATGATATTCAATGTTTTCCTGTACTACACCATAGCAATGAAAGTACATGTGAGTGTTCAATTGATTCTATGAGCCGCCATCGCCGCAATAAACAACAAACCAAAAGAACAATTCATTACTACAAATATTTCTGTTGTATCTGTTCAAACAGGGCGAACCCATCTGACACTGGTACACGCAACAATGTATTGGAGCAGGCTGATGCCGCGTATATGGGGTACCAGGTATTACATCATTATTGGGAAATCAGAGAAGATGCAGCAGAATTGGGCGACGAGATTCTGAACCAGAACCACGAAAGTAGCAGTGATACAAGTGATGCTGCAATGCATGTTTTAGCAGATTACTTTCCGGGAGACGCCGGAGATATAGGTATTGAAGCCAGAGGTAATGCCATTGAAGATGATGACGACATTGAAGCCGAAGATGCAGACATTGAAGCCGGTGATGACGACATTGAAGCCAGTGATGTCGACATTGAAGCCCGTGATGATGCTGACATTGAAGCCGGTAATGATGCTGACATTGAAGCCGGAGATGATGCTGACATTGAAGCCGGAGATGATGCTGACATTGAAGCCGGAGATGATGACGACATGGAAGCCGGTGATGATGACGACACTGACGCAGGAGATGGTACATCAGACAGTTCTGTCACACAGAACCATTCCTACACACGCCTCATGGGGGACGTTTTCGCTGCTGGTCGGAGAACAGTCGTCACATATATATCACCAGTTGAGGACTAACATTCGTCAATCTCTGTCATTTCCATAAAATGTATTTATGATATAACGGGTAGGCTTCTTGGCACAATAAAGCCAACGGATGCAAACTGTATCTGTCATATATGGATAAAGATGCCAATATGGAAGGTCAGGTAGGTACAACTTTCATTATTTACAACAAACATGGCGTCGCCCTTGTTATTCAGTGATCGAATAATAATTAATCATCGAAATCTAGAGAAACTACTGAGATAATCGTTATCATTATCAAAACAATAGTCTGAGATACTGAAAAGCAGTGTATCTCCAAGACTGGAAGTTCTATCTTTAGATTTCTTTCCCACACAACACACTTCATGAAAACGTCAATCCTTGATCCATGGGGTATTTATTACTAAACGTGGCGAGCATAGATATAGTTACATATCTATCTTCAAAGGTTCAGGCCAATTTGTCAAAAATGAAAGCAAATGTTATCTGGAGTTCACTGAGAAAACAATACGGGAAATGCTGGACTTCCTCATTGATAACATCTATGTTAAAGTTGGGAGTAAGACATTTATGTAAGTAGTAGCCCCAGTTGTACTCCCGTTCCTGCTTATTTGTTTCATTGTGCATATGAATCGAAATGTCTGTCGGATTAGCAAAGTCAAAACAAGGCAATTTTAACTTGTGCTTCAGGTATGATCTCATATTGTCTGATATCCATCAAATAGCCAATTTCCTTCCAATGATTTACCCACCTGAACTAGACATAAAGGAGACCAGTGAGATCTCCTCATCTGTAATATATTAAGATCTATGCATTCAGAGCCACAAAACACTTTCCACAAGGCTGTATGACAAGAGGGTTGGCTTCAACTTTCCAGATGTCAACTTTCCCTTCATGTCGAGCACTATATACCAGCAGCACCAGCCTTGCGTGTCCACATTTCACAACCTTTGATGTACAATCGAGCATGCTCTTTCTACAAAGATGTTAAAGTTGTTTTACCAAGGTCAACAGTCAAGGCCTTTCAATGCGCAGGACATTTCCAAATTTGATGTATCAGTGACAAACTTTATGTCCGGTTCCTTATTTTGACTTGCACCATATGTTGCCATGTTTTTTTCTCAGTAACCTTTTGACTTGCCTCTGCGTGTGATATACGCTCATCTTTTCACTATCACTATTTGATATATGCTCTTGGTGAAGTCGGAATAGTACAATCAACTCTGCTATTGGCAGAGATTTCATGTGGCCATGGAAAGGGTTTTGTCGTTTTGTGTTAATGTGTGGTTAAGGATGTTGTTACACATATGTTTATGTAAGGATAAGAATTTATGGATGAACAACTTCTATATTTCAATTAAGAGCGACGTTTGGGTGGAGGTTCTAACTCCGTTATCAAGCAAGTGATAGAACCTACACCGAAACGTCGCTCTTGATTCTATTAAAGAAGTTGTTCATCGATAAAGTCTTATCCTTACTTAGTATTCCAACTTCTAATTGCCTATCAAAGAAGTTATATATGTTTATGTCGTGCTCGTGGGTTTCACCAATGTGGTAAACATCTGAAACCCGCATCACGTTCGGATTTCTACCCACATAATTGATAATAAATAATAATAATTACACATGTGTAGTACTCAGCTGAAATCCAGTTGAAACAACTTCTCAAAAGAGCATGTGAACAATTCGTCCTACAGGATACATTAAAGGGCATGTAATGTGAAAGAATTATTACGATTTGTTTGCAAATATCAATTGTTCTACAAATATGAAGTCAATTTTCAGGGGTGGGGGATGCGAATCATAACGTTAGTAGAAAGTATTTAAATGTGAAAGTGAAAGTGCTGAAATCACACGCTGTGTAATCGGTTTCCAAAACAAACATATCTGGGGGCCTGGCCTAAAGTTACCAGCGCCGCGGTGCGTGACATATCAAACACTGCATGGAACCGACGGATGCTTGTAACACATGGATAACCATTTGAGACTCAATAAACACAATAGGTACGTTTTTCCTTTAAAACATTCACATCTCAAATTTACATAATTCACAGTCCAACTAAATGTGAAAGACCCTTGTTAACTGGTTTCTGGTTGGCGAGGAGTTGTCTCTTCTCCCTCTCATGGGCATGGTCTAGGTTTCGCAACTTCTTCTTGGGTGGCGTCAAGCTGACTGGATTGCTGTATTATCCCGCTCAACTTGCAGTATCTCAATAAATATTTGTACAGATTTGGATGCCACCCTTTCAGGTGATTTGTTGTCGTCGACCCGCTGCTCAGTGGCATATTATTGTGCTTCGTAACAAAGTCTCTTTAGAGTTAATGGTGGCCGAGCATCCTCTTGGTGGACATTTCCAATGAATGGAAGTTTGACGTCCGGGCGTAATCAAGAACTTGTATTCGACAAAAACCAAGTGCCGACCCCTCTTAGAATTCGGAATAAACTGAACATCAACCTGCGCATTTGCCTCAGTGAAATACTGTTTCTTGTCTGTACTTCCCTATTTAGGCCAAATCGTACGAAATGATAAATATGTTCACTCATTCATTGACAAATATTTTCACTCAGTACAGTGTATGTGAATATAGTTCACCAATTAGATGTGTCGTTATATTTTGTGAGGTATACACCAGTTCCTGTGTAATATATGAGATATCCCCCTTTTCTCCTATTTTCTTACCAACGCTCGTGTGAATTTGTACATATAACAATAGGTGTTGGTCAAGTAGGAAGACCCCCAAATTAACAATCATGCAGACTAGACACCGGCGCGACCGTTGAAATTGCACAGAAGTTAAACACCAGTACCCGTTTTAACCAGTGTATGGGAATTCCCCATTTGTGGCGGATTCTGTCGTTTGGGGACGATTTTAGTGTAAATTAAATTATGTGGCTCTGTCTGTTTAAACTGTTTAAGACAATTTATCGTCATCCAGTTCCAAATAACTTCAATGAAACTTCTTATGCGATCGAAAGCATTTTCTATTGACGACCTATCAGCAGGTTTGAAAGCCAAATATAGCTGTGTGTCATCTGCATACTTGTGGAAGGAAAGCCGATGTGACCGAGCATTATCTCCCAGAGGTGAAGTGTAAATATGGAACAACACTGGCGTTACGGCTTATATTGCTGACACACTGGGATATAACTGAAATAAGGTCGTTAAGTCCAACTCACTTACTCCTAATCCTATTAATATGTATTTGTGACCTTACAAATCCGTGGATCCATTAGAGCAACAGAGCAGGAATATATAGCCTGATGCTGGAGGGGTGCTGCAGTCATTGCAGAAATTTCGTTCTGTTGATGAGTGTGTGAATATATAGTTACGATGCAGCCGAGCGCTGCCATGAAGTCGATAGCCAACACATACATGTCATGAAAGAGTAAAACGTTTCCATTTTGTGTTGACAACATTGACCATTCAAGGTACGGTGGATTCAACCGGGCATTTTGAGTAGCTGTGGTTACCGTATCCCCTCATCCGTTCTTCAGTGTTTCTATACGCTACTGTTGGAGTAGAGGAAGGCTCAAATGTGACACGCGCTGGAAGCAGCTGAGAAGTAAGCGTGAACCGTAGGAGGGTAGGGTTACATAGACTGGCAGCAAGTCTACGTCACTAAATCCCTTATTCCAAGGCAGTGAGTTCTAATGAGGGCTCAATATAACGTTAATAAACACTTGCTGCCTGCACCCCATGTGGTACTAGAAATACTTCTCATAAGCTTCAGGACTTAAGTGCACTTTTCAATCAGATAGTCCATGTGTGGTTGCCATGTAAGGCGCGTATCAAACCAGACCCAGCAACTCATTTGTCAGTATTTTTGTTGAACTTGGAGCAGTCATTGAAGTATTGCGTTGGATTCATTTTAAGGCCTCTGTCAGCGGTCATTTTTTGTGATTTTGTCGGTACGTTACAAGCAATTGGGTCGGGGTCTCCTCGACGAGACAGGACTTCTTGAGAGAACTATGTGCAATATTCTTCATTTCTTCAGAAACCATATTTGCTTTCTGATATATTAAATCGATCATGTGTTTCTAAAAAGTGTCGGATATATATTCATTCATAAGTCTGTTAGATGGTTTGTTTACGGTAGATAGATTACCATATTGTCAGTGTCACAGCCTTCACGATTCTAATTAATCCAGACGTTTCAGTTTCCAGGGAGGTCAGCCACGTTACCACATTTCTGTATGTTGCGGTGTGTGTTCATGTATGAAGACATTCCCAACACTAATGGGCACTTAACTATATATGTTTTCACTTTATATGTCACAAAAAGGGTGTTTACATCCTCTCCAATTATATAAGTGCTTTGTCAATAATCTGCCTAATTGAATACTAAATGTACCTATTTTACTCATATATTATCCTTCTGTGTACTTCTACCCTTTGTAAATATATCCTTAGTGCACCCGTTGGAAGGTGAGGTGTACAACACATTTTGTTATCCTTTACTATTGTCAATCTTAGTTTAGTATGAGTGCATGCACATACTTCTAGGCAATAATGTTGGAAGAATATAGCTTTCTATGTTGTGCATTTACTCATGTACATACTATATAGCTATATTCCATGTTTGGTCATCAATTGTCGATTGCCACACGAAGCGCAAATAAACTCTTCTTCCCTCAATTTGTGACTTGTTATTACAATTCTGCTTTAAGCAGAGATTTCCTTTGATGATGGAGAGGGTTTCGTCGCTTTAATATACAAGAGTAAACCTTACTGCATATTCACTTACCGTATGTCTGGATGAGTCATCGCCTACTGCTTCCTGCTTTCAATGGAACGTATCACAACTGAAGTGCGATGTATAACCTGGGTTACATACCATCAATAGCATGTCGAGACATCTAAACGTGTGTGTGAAACAGACTGGTTGATGAACAGGAGGGATGTACATATTGTGCCGATTTTAGAATATACAATCCCAAAAATTTACTGCAATCTCGAGTACATACACATTGTATCTCGAAGCAGCAGTCATTTAACATATATCTGTATTTGTTCTATGTTGGTTTTGTACTGACGTCCAAAAGAAACTATACCAAGAAAAAAGGACTGTAATTCCTTTATAATTTCGCTTTTCCACCACAAATGACATGCGTTCTACCTAATGACAATAAATGGTCGTCCACAATTAAATATCACTTGTCATTCCTGAATGTGACAAGTCTCGGACTCATGTTAATTTCCAAACCTGAATTTTGGGTTGGAAATGAAATGTTTAAATATGGCCCCTAAATACAAGCAAATGTATCCGATGACTTAAAACCGATGAAAGTGTGATGCATTAAAAAAAACTGTGCATTGTGCCATAATGACGTATGAACACCCTCCACGGTTACAGGAGGTTGGTTGGGTTGTTAACGCTACACTCAGCAATATTCCACCTTTATGACGGCGGTCTGTAAATAATCGAGTCTGAACCAGACAATCCAGTGATTAATATCATGAGCATCGATCCACGCAATTGGAATCGATGACATGCATCAACCAAGTCAGCGAGCCTGACCACCCGATCCCGTTAGTCGCCTCTTACGACAAGCAAAGTCGCCGTTTACGGCAAGCATGTGTTGCTGAAGACCCATTCTAGCCCGGATCTTCACGGGTGGAGACAAGCATGGGTTGCTGAAGACCCATTCTACCCCGGATCTTCACGGGTGGAGACAAGCATGGGTTGCTGAAGACCCATTCTACCCCGGATCTTCACGGGTGGAGTAAAGCATGGGTTGCTGAAGACCCATTCTATCCCGGATCTTCACGGGTGGAGACAAGCATGGGTTGCTGAAGACCCATTCTACCCCGGATCTTCACGGGTGGAGACAAGCATGGGTTGCTGAAGACCCATTCTACCCCGGATCTTCACGGGTGGAGACAAGCATGGGTTGCTGAAGACCCATTCTACCCCGGATCTTCACGGGTGGAGACAAGCATGGGTTGCTGAAGACCTATTCTAGCCGGGATCTTCACGGGTGGAGAAAAGCATGGGTTGCTGAAGACCCATTCTAGCCCGGATCTTCACGGGTGGAGACAAGCATGGGTTGCTGAAGACCCATTCTACCCCGGATCTTCACGGGTGGAGACAAGCATGGGTTGCTGAAGACCCATTCTACCCCGGATCTTCACGGGTGGAGACAAGCATGGGTTGCTGAAGACCCGTTCTAGCCCGGATCTTCACGGGGCTTGCAGGAGGTGATGTCATGGTCCGTGGAGGAATATGTGGGAACTTGAAAACAAGGTTGGTTATCATTCGAGACAACCATTATGTACAGGGGTATCGAGTTGAAGTCTTGAGACCCGTTCTGCTACCATTTCGTCAACAACAACGCCGTATGAATACACAATGCCTTTACAAAGTGGTCAATGTAACCAATGTTATTTTGGAGATAACACTTTCTTAGTAAAGGACAGATTCGTGTACTCTTTTGTGCTGGCGAATAGGTGCCTCACTCTGAGAGAGTGTGGGTTCGAATCCCGGATTGGACTCAACCCAAAAAAGTACTAGAATGGTTTCTTTACTTAGAAAGTGGTATCCCAAATATGCCATTTGTTATAACCACACGGTATATATACTTTTCCAGCAAGAGTTATAGTTAAACACCATAGAGTAGCGGCCAACCCATAAACGGCTTATTTAAGGAGCAAGCCCTCAGTAGAACAAAGCACAACCACATTTTTCATCACAAGAAGTCATTTATGCATTAGAAAATGCTGGTTGGGGTGATTTATTTTGGTGGCAGACATGTGTTTTGGTGTGAAAATGCACTTTTTATCACAAAAACAATGTGCTGACGTAGGGAACCTACAAGAGAACAAATAAACAGTAAGCAAAATTGTTTTAATAGAGTTATGAGCCCAAAACATGAAACATATGACTTCATTTTCATTTTCAAATTATTACAAAACTGAAGATAATGTAACGTCTATATTGACAATCATGTAAAAAATTTCCCGCATGTTATAGGAGCGTAAACAAAATCCACAATTAATGTAGGTATAATATAATGTATGAAAATTTAGTAATTTGATCCCAACCATTTACTATGACAACACTTACATTCTTGTACACCAAATTGTTTTATTTGAATACATGAATCGTTTAAGTATCTTACATATACATTTCTCTGCTTGCTCTTATAGACTTTTTGTGAGTTTGATATAACGACAATAGATAGATATATGTAAATTTGCCTCGGGAGGAACGGGAGGGGTAACTAATAAATGACACCAATAACCATATTCCACATTTTTCATGAACATCTTTATGTTTAAAACATGTTGATATTATGGGATATTGAGCCCCTGATGCGTTACCTATCATTAACGTGTTTAACGCAAAGAATGGGTTCCTTTTTGGGATTTAAACTTAAATCATATAAGCACGTTTTAGGATAAGTTTGTTTAGCACCTGTTTTATAGCTTAACACATTTTTACAGTCTATAATCATGGTAACATCTTAATGACACGACCCTTAAAATTCATTATTGCAGCAAATAACAGAACAGAATATTTTACATATTATAGATTATCATATAATGGGTAGGTTTCTCGGCAGGATAAAGCCAACGGATAAAAACGATATCCGTTGGGGTCATATGCGGATAGAGATGCAAATATCAAAGGTTAAGTAGGGACTACTTTCAGTGTTTATAAACAAACATGGCGTCGCCCTCGTCATTCGGCGATCGAGTCAGAATTAACCATCGGGAATCTGGATAAAAGATTGCTGTCATTATCAAAAGAACAGTCTTATATACAGAAAATCAGTGTCTAACTGTGACGTAGCTAAGGCATTTCATAAGTTTTGGCAAATGTGGAGATATAAATTTTGACATAATTTTGCGAGGGCACCAGGCCTAGCCAAGCGGGATCAGTAGCCATATCTGTGCTTGTAGACCTCTGCGGCTTGAAACCTTCTCCACAAATTAAAATAGTTGGATTTGGCCGAAATAAGTTTGAATTGTTACCTTGTTTGGTTTTGACGCTGTGTGTACATCTGACTACACTCCTTAACGTTGTGACAGGACAGACCGACTGTCAACAACGTCTGACCGTGGCCGTGACGTCTCATAGACTAGGGTTAGAGTAGCTTCCCTTTGACAAAGGGCAGTTACTCTAGTGGACAGACCGATGGATTGCCGCGAAAGGAAATTAAAAACATTTGTTGTTTTGCGTATATGTTGCTTCGCAACTGTATAAGAAACAGATTTCAGTTGGAACTATATTGCCTACTGTCACTGTCCGACTGACACATCACTTACCCTTTGACATAATAAATATTAATGCGCGCATTCTAGGAAAACTCGCAATGTTTCGGTAATGTTTGTGAGAGAGGGAAAGCGATTTTGAAGCACAGAATTAAAGAAAGACATTATATGATAAAGAGGTTATCACGCTTGTGTGTTTGGGGATGGTACATATCCTGTATTAGGAATAAACACTATGTATTTAGCTCGCCAAGACTCGCTATATAGAATGTTTATTCCTAATGCAGGATATGTACCATCCCCAAACACACTCGCGTGATAACCTCTATATATACTAGATTTGAAGGTGACAGGAATTTTATCAACATACTGTAAATCTGAATGGCGTAATATCTAAGTGATAGATTCTGCTAATGTCGGTGATAGTAACACAGATAGTATTCTAACTGGGAACATGTACATTTTACCGCATATTGTCAGCACAAAATATACACACAAGGAGGTTTCCATGCAGAGCGAGGACAACAAAGTCTAAAACTATTACTAGTGTCATAATAACAATATTAATACATTATAACATATCTGATATTCCAGCAATATTAAATCTGACCTTAAGAATGCATTTGGTAAGGCCAAAATGGTGATTCATGCTACATAGCCACGCTATTCGGTTATGCCCTGAGTAAATATATTTTTCTGTTATATCACGGTCATATTTATTTGTTGTTACTTTTGACTGCTTTTCACTGTTTAGTCATAACGAACTGAACGCATTTTATGGTTGAAATGACTTTAGTCTTATGAACTATCAATGAAATTACAAATATTATCATAATAGCGCAATCTTCGGGTTTTGAGAGCAATTGTGGGATAACACATTACCAATTTTAATAAAATTCATAAACGATAAGTGGAATATGAACACTGCCATCTCATCATAAGACGTGTCAGCTAATTTTGATATATCAAATGACCTGCTAATAATACATTGCGGTTAAGTTTCCAATAATTGGAAAATGTAAATAGAGGGATGTAACATTTCTTTTGTTTATTTTTACTAATAACGCAATTTGTGCGAGGCTCTAGGTTTTTAAAACATATAATTCAAGTCTTCTATGTGTAAACTATCACATAAATGATAAAACAGAGGACTCAATGCACACACTACTTTTTTAGGGGACTTTATTTTATTTTCTGTATTTTTACAACAGAAATGTGCATTTTTACCCCAAAACAGTAACTGCCACCGAAACATTTGACCACAAACATCATTTTCTAGTCTGATGGATATCAAAACATAAAGAAAACCTTGCTTTGTTCCACTATGGGGAGGTTTGTGTCGACAAGTTGAGGAGGGTCAGGCCACTACTCTTTTGCCCCGGTGTCCCGGCATAAACTCTCCCCCGTACAAATTCTCCCCCGGAGAATCTGTTCTGAAATAAAATCTCCCCCGGGCGGATATATTTCGCGCCCCCCCATCAGGATAAAGTCTTTCCTTCCTTTAAAATATATTCCTTAATACAGGCTACGATTTGAAAATGGTATCAGTGTAATATCAGTGGCTAGAATATCATGGTGCAACCAGGTTTCTGTTAAACACACAACATCATAACTATCTAATTCAGCACTGATTAGATCTACTTTGTCTTTAAGACTGAGTACGTTCCTATATATCTAAACGCTACGCCGACAGATGGAAATTTGTATCACGATAGCTTGAAAATTTGATACGTTTCCAATATTTAATTAACGATTGATCTTTTACATGTTACCTAGATCAGCGACGCTTACACACAGCTCCACTTTCTGGTTTTCAAGTGATTTACTCCGAATTACTTAATTATGGTGCACGTTTAGGATTGGTGATTGTTCAGTAGTGTCATGTGTGTATGTTGCATCAATAATATGTAGGTATGAACGCCGATAATGAAGTACTTAGCCAATAACACTTTGGCCCGTCTTGGCCCGGCCCGACTTTTAGTCAATGCCCTCAACTATTGAACTGCATGGCAAGTATTTGTAAAACGACCGGGGGAGGAAATATTCCGGGGGTGGGGTGTGTGTGTGTGTGTGTGGGGGGGGGGGGGGGGGGGGGGGGGGTTATTTCGTAGTGCGACGGAGAGTTCATTTCGAGAGGGGCGGAACTGTACTGGTATAAATTCGCCGAGGGGAGATTTTATTCTGGGGGCGAATATATTTCGTGACACCGGCAAGGAAAAAGCAAAGTGACATTGCTCAGAGAGAGGAACATTTAGAGTTGTCTCCCTTCCGTTCCAATAACGAAAGTAGATTTTTAGCCGAACAGGAGGAGGACATGTTTGCAATTCGTGCTGTAAGTATGCGCCAATAATTTTATTTAACTAAGGGAACGAGTGACGTAGTGATACATGAAACAATATCTCGATTTCAACTCAATAGTTGTAACACAGGTTTAGACACGGAAGGTATGCATAGGCCGGCCTATGAATGGGCACAGTGCACAGCTAGAAAGTTGGAGAAGTTTCAGCTAGACTAGTTGTGTTTTACCATTTGAGTCTAAATACGTATACCCGCAGATAGTGTCCCAAAAAGTCACTAATCAGAAGAAGGTGTAAGTATTGCATTTACTGCTGAAAGTACTAAGTTTACTTTTCACTGGACCGTCACGTTTACGGTTTAGTACTTGACGGCGCGGCGGGGCCATGACCCCTGACTCCTGGAGATGGGCTATTTCTGCTTAATCCTACGTAAACATATAGGAAGAATAATCTAAAGTATGAAATGAATCTTAGTTATTAGAGTTCATTTACCAAGGCCTTTTTTATCATTTATCATTTCAGTCTGTCACAGACACGACACTATTAATTGGGGCTGGACGGGTAACTCAAGTACTGTTGGAAGAATGTTGTGCATAACGTTGATATGACATTGATTTTTGGGTTGGATTTGGAAGTTGTGATGATGTAGAAAGGTCAATCTTGAATCAACATTAGATATGAATATTGAGTTTTGTTAGGGTATTGATGGGATATCTGTTGCATTGGTGGAATATATGTTGCATTGGTGGAATATCTGTTGCATTGATGGAATATATGTTGCATTGGTGGAATATCTGTTGCATTGGTGGAATATATGTTGCATTGGTGGAGTATATGTTGCATTGGTGGAATATCTGTTGCATTGATGGATTATCTGTTGCATTGGTGGAGTATATGTTGCATTGGTGGAATATCTGTTGCATTGGTGGAATATATGTTGCATTGATGGAATATATGTTGCATTGGTGGAATATCTGTTGCATTGGTGGAATATATGTTGCATTGGTGGAACATCTGTTGCATTGATGGAATATCTGTTGCATTGGTGGAATATCTGTTGCATTGGTGGAATATCTGTTGCATTTGTGGAATATCTGTTGCATTGATGGATTATCTGTTGCATTGGTGGAGTATATGTTGCATTGGTGGAATATCTGTTGCATTGATGGATTATCTGTTGCATTGGTGGAGTATATGTTGCATTTGTGGAATATCTGTTGCATTGATGGATTATCTGTTGCATTGGTGGAGTATATGTTGCATTGGTGGAATATCTGTTGCATTGATGGATTATCTGTTGCATTGATGGATTATCTGTTGCATTGGTGGAGTATATGTTGCATTGGTGGAATATCTGTTGCATTGATGGATTATCTGTTGCATTGATGGATTATCTGTTGCATTGGTGGAGTATATGTTGCATTGGTGGAATATCTGTTGCATTGGTGGAATATATGTTGCATTGGTGGAACATCTGTTGCATTGATGGAATATCTGTTGCATTGGTGGAATATCTGTTGCATTGGTGGAATATCTGTTGCATTGGTGGAATATATGTTGCATTGGTGGAATATCTGTTGCATTTGTGGAATATCTGTTGCATTGATGGATTATCTGTTGCATTGGTGGAGTATATGTTGCATTGGTGGAATATCTGTTGCATTGATGGATTATCTGTTGCATTGGTGGAGTATATGTTGCATTGGTGGAATATCTGTTGCATTGGTGGAATATCTGTTGCATTGATGGATTATCTGTTGCATTGGTGGAGTATATGTTGCATTGGTGGAATATCTGTTGCATTGGTGGAATATCTGTTGCATTTGTGGAATATCTGTTGCATTGATGGATTATCTGTTGCATTGGTGGAATATCTGTTGCATTTGTGGAATATCTGTTGCATTGATGGATTATCTGTTGCATTGGTGGAGTATATGTTGCATTGGTGGAGTATATGTTGCATTGGTGGAATATCTGTTGCATTGGTGGAATATCTGTTGCATTGGTGTAATATTTGTTACATTGACACATACAGTTCTATAGCACTTTCTAAGATGCTTCACAAAAGATCAATTGTGCTGAGTGTATATACTTTATCCTTGGACCTAGCGTATCCTTGGTAACATGGTTCTTTCATTACTGCCATTATAAGATGGCGCATCCAAATCGGTTATTGGTGAAATAGTTCATTAAACTTGTTGAATTTGAATGTTATTGCCTTGGAAGAAATATGGAAAGATGATGTAAGCTATCTCTCAGACTAATCCCAAACACCTTCAAACCAATGTGTCACTGCCACAGCAGTCACAGAATTGTCCGAGGCGGGCGTTGGTTTCCCACTAATTATGTATGTCTCTTGGGACGAAGGAATGAACAATCCATGAAAAGTTTCATAACAACATGTCCATCTGTTGCTCACTGTAAGGCATTTAACAACACACACCAGTCAAACAAACCGGCCGTTGTTGCTCACTGTAAGGCATTTAACAACACACACCAGTCAAACAAACCGGCCATTGTTGCTCACTGTGAGGCATTTAACAACACACACTAGTCAAACAAACCGGCCATTGTTGCTCACTGTGAGGCATTTAACAACACACACTAGTCAAACAAACCGGCCATTGCTGCTCACTGTGAGGCATTTAACAACACACACCAGTCAAACAAACCGGCCATTGTTGCTCACTGTAAGGCATTTAACAACACACACTAGTCAAACAAACCGGCCGTTGCTGCTCAATGTAAGGCATTTAACAACACACACTAGTCAAACACACCGGCCATTGCTGCTCAATGTAAGGCATTTAACAACACACACTAGTCAAACAAACCGGCCATTGCTGCTCAATGTAAGGCATTTAACAACACACACTAGTCAAACAAACCGGCCATTGCTGCTCAATGTAAGGCATTTAACAACACACACTAGTCAAACACACCGGCCATTGCTGCTCAATGTAAGGCATTTAACAACACACACTAGTCAAACAAACCGGCCATTGCTGCTCAATGTAAGGCATTTAACAACACACACTAGTCAAACAAACCGGCCATTGCTGCTCAATGTAAGGCATTTAACAACACACACTAGTCAAACACACCGGCCATTGCTGCTCAATGTAAGGCATTTAACAACACACACTAGTCAAACACACCGGCCATTGCTGCTCAATGTAAGGCATTTAACAACACACACTAGTCAAACACACCGGCCATTGCTGCTCAATGTAAGGCATTTAACAACACACACCAGTCAAACAAACCGGCCTTTGCTGCTCACTGTAAGGCATTTAACAACACACACCAGTCAAACACACCGGCCATTGCTGCTCACTGTAAGGCATTTAACAACACACACCAGTCAAACACACCGGCCATTGCTGCTCACTGTAAGGCATTTAACAACACACACCAGTCAAACACACCGGCCATTGCTGCTCACTGTAAGGCATTTAACAACACACACCAGTCAAACACACCGGCCATTGCTGCACAATGTAAGGCATTTAACAACACACACTAGTCAAACACACCGGCCGTTGTTGCTCAATGTAAGGCATTTAACAACACACACTAGTCAAACACACCGGCCATTGCTGCTCAATGTAAGGCATTTAACAACACACACTAGTCAAACACACCGGCCGTTGTTGCTCAATGTAAGGCATTTAACAACACACACTAGTCAAACAAACCGGCCGTTGTTGCTCAATGTAAGGCATTTAACAACACACACTAGTCAAACACACCGGCCATTGCTGCTCAATGTAAGGCATTTAACAACACACACTAGTCAAACAAACCGGCCATTGCTGCTCAATGTAAGGCATTTAACAACACACACTAGTCAAACACACCGGCCATTGCTGCTCAATGTAAGGCATTTAACAACACACACTAGTCAAACACACCGGCCGTTGTTGCTCAATGTAAGGCATTTAACAACACACACTAGTCAAACAAACCGGCCGTTGTTGCTCAATGTAAGGCATTTAACAACACACACTAGTCAAACACACCGGCCATTGCTGCTCAATGTAAGGCATTTAACAACACACACTAGTCAAACACACCGGCCATTGCTGCTCAATGTAAGGCATTTAACAACACACACTAGTCAAACACACCGGCCATTGCTGCTCAATGTAAGGCATTTAACAACACACACTAGTCAAACACACCGGCCATTGCTGCTCAATGTAAGGCATTTAACAACACACACTAGTCAAACACACCGGCCGTTGTTGCTCTTCCTCCGCCATGGTTGTCCCGTGGCAAGGCCATATCACACCCCAGGCCATCAATTCACCTCAGTTGCGGTATCACATAGTGCAGCCAGCTCGGTTACCACACTGTTTCATGGCTTATAGTTGCTGCAGTCTGCTAACATTAGTGGCAGATACAAAGTAAAACTTGTACAACAGAAAACACCTCAACTCACAATAACCAACGATACCGAATTTCAGCTATGTTTATTATACATGTTAGCTCGGCCCCACAATAACCTTGTGGAAGTTACAAGTCATGTGATTAAATTGAAGCAAATTGCTATGAAAACTTAAATTTATGAATCCTTCTTATTGCTGGGTTTATGAATACCCTCACACTGAACTGATAAAGGAAGTCCTTTGATGCAAGACAGACAACACTGATATAAGTCATTGTTTTTACAGGCTAAATGTCCTCCTATCTATGAGCACCATCAGTCTATTGTCTTTGGGATATCCATCATTTGGCTCAAGTTAGTCTTTTGGCACATCCCTCGAACGGCCTCCGGATGTCGAGTATCTGATGTCATGACTGAACACACCAAATTAAGAATCTGTGTCTTCCCACAACAAGTAGTTTACAGCATAAAGCCTGCATTATCTCCCTTGGTCCATCAACGATATCTGCTCTCCTCGTCCTGCCTCAAACAATATAAGTGGGTCACGGTTTATCATGATGATAGAAAATGCATTTCTACACCTGAATAATTCAGGCTGAATTACTGCTCTGTGGCAATACGTTGTCGATGTGACATGAACATAATTTCTCAGTCAATCCACACCAAAGTTAACAGTTTGCAAGAGTAACACTTCTTCTAACTCGGTCAAGGTCATCTCACGCTGAGCCAGCTGATGAGTTGTGTTAAACAATTTTGTAAGCTTTTCAACCTCTTTCATTTCGATTAAAAATGCCCTTTTCTATTTGGGATTGTCCAGGTTTTATTGTTGCAGCGAACTAAATGTGTATGTCATTTTCCATATGACAATCTAAATTGCTTGTTCTGAAACCTCTCGAGCCTGTTACAAAAGAGTTTTGTTGACTTTCAACAAGATTCAAGATACAAATGAGTTTATTTGTAGTTCAGGCCTAAAGACTCATATCACAAATATAGCTACAACTGTTGTCTAGTGAGCATTACAAAGAGTTTACAATTCTTCCCATATTTTAAATACACATATGAGATATTTGGCAAGTTTAAAAACAGAATCTGAATTAGAGATTGAACAAATAGATCTTATGTTGTGATACACATTGCCCTTTCTTTCCACTTCCTGTGCAATCCACACATACCCAAAACCAGGTTGGAATTGTATCTTTCTTACGTTGCTAGCACAATTTGGGTGTTTTGTATCAATAATGCCTACTCACATTCTATAGCATTTGTATGGGTGCCTCTAATGTGACATTCTCAGGAGACAGAGCCAGCATCTGATACATTTTTCAAAATATGTAATAAATAGAGTATATCTGGCAGTTTCCCATATGTAACACAGTTTGGAGTTCTATATCCTAAATCCAAGATAAATTTACAATATTTTCTAGATCTATGTACAATTTAAATGTTTTCATTAAGAGTAAATCCCCAAATTTCAGAACCATATGTCAGTATACATGGTATAGGTAGAATCTTTTTATCAAACATCTGGAAGGCCTTCGCTCCGATCTGCACTAGAATTGTTTTCTCAGATCTAAATGTCTTATCTAAATTGTAATATAATTTCACATCCTCTATATTTGGTCAATAAACAGTGAAACTAGCTAGTTGGTAATCGTTAATGTCCATCTTTACAATAAGCTCATTGCCATTTAACATCTCATATTTCGTATGGCTACACCTCTAGAATCCTATTATGAAAGCTGAAAGAGCAATCTTTGTTTCTCCATTCTTCTTCAATATTTTGTTCCATAGTTTTTGTCAAATGCACATCTTGCAAACAGTAGATACTTGCTTTCTTTTTCTTTACTTTTAGTTTTATCATTGATACCTCTACAATTTTGTGATATTATTTTCAGTATGTCACCCATTTGATAATTCACGGCTGGGAATCATGTATTTGAAGAGTTGTGAGGCAGTGAACAGGACATGCAAAGAGGAATACGTAGACAATGATATTGTTAGAATAAACACATGTTCATGGTAGTCTTTCAGTTTTGGTCCTTCATTCAGCGCACATCCCTTCCCGAGGGGGCGGCGAGGTGGTTGCTGATTTGGTATGGGAGCGTGTTGCCGTCACAGACAGCTTCTGGCTAATGTGGAGTTGCCTCCCTTGGTGACTATATAAGCGGTAGAGCGCTTTGGTTACAACAGTCCTGCTGTCTTTGGGCAACAGCCAAATTTATCGGGCTGCCTGTAAGGTTACTATGATGTCATGTGTCATGTGTCATGTGTCATGGGTCTGAGGCCATGTGTTTAATCGCCCTGGCTGTTAATGCTTGTGACTCGTTTTAGGTAACAAGTTTGATAACTACATACATTATTGTGGCTGACTGAGTTGTGGGTGCCTGTATACACTGACACCAGTGAAAGAAATTACCTCTGTGTGTTGCATCTATGGTATGAATTGAATATATGCTGTGTTAACGCATTTGCTCATCACTCCAGAGACCAAGTTTGATTCCCCACATGGGTACAATGTATGAAGCCCATTTCTGGTGTCACCCGTGATATCGTTCGAATATTGCTTGAACATCATTCATTCACTCACTCACTCACTCCCCACCCACCCACTTACTGACAGACCGCCTCCGTGGTCTTGTGGTAGAGCGTCCGCCCAGAGAGCGGTAGGGCCGGGGTTCGATCCCCGACAGCGTCATACAAAAAGACGTTAAAAGATTGTACTTGTTGATACCCTGTCTGGCGCTCGGCATTAAGGGGCTAAAACAAGGACTGGTCGGCTCGGAGTCAGTATACTGTGTCTGAGTGGGGTATTCATGTTAAACTGCGGCATGGTATCTCAGTGAGCTAGCACTATAAATCGGCATCAGTCCGGACTAGTACAAGCAGCCACACACACACATACACGTGCATGCACGTCGCTATATAAGTGCAATAATCTTTGACGCGACGTTAAACCCAATTTCACCTCACCTCACTTACTGACAGGGTACAGTCTTGGTGTTATCGTTTTTGATGTTCAAAGGAAGGAGTAATTGTATTAATTTCATAATACATTTTGGGCCAGGGGGTCGACACCCTCCTTAATTTGGTGGTGCATTTCATGATTTACAGTGTGGTTTTGGAGAATTATTACGATGAATACGGTAAATACAACGTAGATAGTTTTTATCATTTCAGATGATGTCAGCAATGAATGAGAGATGCTGAAGTACAGCCTGCTTGTCCTAATCCTTGGTGAGTTTTATATAGAAGTTTGTGTTACACCCCCCGAACGGTGTAACTTTCTATAGATATTTACTACCTGAAAGAATTCAAAAGAAGAATGAGATCCCGGACAACTTCTGTTTATTCAAAACAGTAATGGCGTCACATATGAGATGGCATCACATGTGAGATGCAATTCAAACGGATAATTATCAATTAACACTGAAGTTGAAATTCAGTTCATGACTTAGGCTTACACCTAGCATTTAGCCGATCCAGGTGGAGCAACCTTAGAGCAATAGTGAATGCATAGTTAACTCCCTTGGATTACTTTGGAAAATTCACTAAGTTACTATTATGACAATATTGCTTATAAATGCATTATTATTGTTTGATGGGACCACTTGTACATTTGACATGAAAACAGTATTGTGTTTCAATTATATCCCTCCAGAAAGTTCAACGTATTACAGGACTGTAGATGAGACAAATGGGATTGAGAGCCTCCGGAGTCAACTAATGACTGTCATATCTGAGTATGGTGATAATATACAGTTTACTGTAATAGGTGATTTGAATGTGAGGGTTGGACTTGAGCAAGATTTTATAATTGATGATGACATCCCATACCTGGATGCAGAATATGATACTGACTGTTTTAACATTTGAAGAATATCCAAGGATAATGTTGTGAATTTATTTGGACGATCACTACTATCACTATGTCGAGTGATGGGGCTACACATGCTAAATGGAAGATCTGGAGGAGATAGGTGTGGTAATTTCACTTTCATCTCACATACGGGAAAGAGTGTAATAGATTATGTCTTGGTTTCTACAAGTTTGTACAAAAGTGTTTCAGATTTTGACATACTTGCCATACCAGAATCAGATCACCTACCAGTGACACGTAGACTTACTTTAATCCCTCAAGTTAATCCACACAAGACAGGCCAGCAGTTAAAGTCATGGAATAAGCTAAATTGGAAATCAAACTCCAGCCAGCTATATGTTGACAAACTTGTAAATGAAACATGCAACAGCGAGCTGCAAATGACATTTGTAAAGAATCTGGATGATAATGACATTAATGCGGCAGTAAGCAACTTGTTTGAAGTTATTTGTAAATGTGCTATTTTAAGTGGTATGAAATCAAATAAGGGGTCAGAGGGGCGTTCCCCTAGTCAGCCCAAGTGGTGGGACCATGAATGTGAGATTTTCAAAGGTGAAAAATATAAGTGTTTAGACAAGTTTAGATTATCTGGTTCTAACATTAACTTCAAGAATTACATTTTATCAAGAAATAAATTTAAGAATGCATGTAAACAAAAAAAAGCCAGATATGACATGGCGGATAAACCAGATGTAATGCGGGTGATAAATAATGCGGGTGTGACCACACGGGACTTATGGAAATTCATCAAATGCTACAACAGGCAAGGGAGGTCTGGCAGTGAAGCAATTTTACCAGAGGAATGGTTTGATCATTTTTCATCACTGCTCAACAACAGTAACTTTGATACTGACCCTGACTTCTGTGAACATGTACATACATTTATCAGGGATAATGAAGATCACACAGCCTGTTGTGACAATGTTGAGAGTGTACAAGTTTTAGATAAGACTATTACTATGGAGGAAATTAGATCTGTAATTAATGATCACCCCAATGGCAAAGCGCCAGGACCTGATGGAATTTTAAATGAACATTTAAAAAGTGTATCCTCATATACTTTTACCACATATCCACAGGTTATTTAACAAGATATTATCTGTTGGAGTTTACCCATCACAATGGACAGAAGCAATAATATTTCCTATTCATAAAAATGGTGAAAATACAGATCCTAATAATTATAGGGAAATATCTTTGTTATCAGTAATTGGAAAGGCCTTTACCAAATACTAAGTAATAGACTTGTTGGCTGATGTGAAGAAAAAGAAAAGCTGTATGAGGAACAAGCTGGCTACAGAAATGGATATAGCACCATAGACAATATATTTGTATTACAATTGGTTATTCAGAAATACCTCTCCAAGTCAAAAGGGCGCTGCTATTGTTTATTCATAGACTTTTCGAAGGCATTCAACAGCGTCCAGCACCATTTATTGAAATATGTACTTTTACAAAAAGGTGTAAAAGGTAAATTTTTCACAGTTATTTCATCTCTGTATAGTCAGCTAAAATCATGTGTTCTAGTTAACAAGTCCTCACTGTCTGAGTTCTTTGAGTGTACAATAGGAACCAGGCAAGGGTGTATGATAAGCCCACTGTTATTCAATCTGTTTTTGAATGAGCTAGTAGATAATTACAGGTTTAATGATTGCAAGGGTATTTTTGTCAATGAGTATGCTGAAAACATCACTTTGATAATGTTTGCAGATGATATTGCTAATGTTGGAGATTCTGTTAGAAGGTTACAGCACCAGATAGATTGTTTAGCAGGATTTTGCAATCAGTATGGGATGAAGGTTAATTTGGAGAAAGTCATGGTATTCCGAAGAGGTGGTATAGTAACAAAAAAGGAAAAGTGGTATTATGATGGTATTCCTCTGGAAGCAGTATCAATTTATAAGTATCTTGGTGTGTTTTTCACTCTTAAGCTCTCATGGTGTTTGGCTAGAAGTACCCTGGCACAACAAGGAGAAAAAGCTCTGAATATTTTGTTTGGATTCTTGAAAAAGTCTAAGCTGAACATTAAAAAGTCCTTGTTTCTATTTGATAGGATGGTTTCTCCAGTCTTATGTTATGCATCATGTGTTTGGGGATTTGAAAGTGTCCAAGTTATAGAAAATGTGCACTGCAAATTTCTTTGAAAAGTTCTCCATGTTAATTCAAACACTCCAGCAGCAGTCTTGTATGGGGAGCTAGGACGGTATCCATTACATGTAACAACCATGTTCAATTCAATTAAGTATTGGCTGAAAATATTAAACATGTCCACAAATAGGTATCCTAAGGCTTGCTATCTGATGTTATATCAGTTAGATGGGGCTGGTAGAGCCACATGGGCAACTAGAATAAACTATCTGTTGAACATACTTGGATTTGGTCTAGTTTGGTTTGAACAGGGTGTTGGTGACATAACCCATTTCCTTAGAATTTGTAGGGAAAGGTTGCAGGATTGTTGGAAACAAACATGGGCACTATCTATAAGTGAAACAAGTAAGCTTTATTATTATTCCATTATCAAATCAGTGCACAATATGAAGAGTACAAATTTAAGAATTGTTCTTAGTCGATTCAGATGTGGTAACCACAAACTGGCTGTTGAAACTGGGCTGTGGGGAGGTGTTGCTAGAGAGGATAAAGTATTATTACATCATGTTACTTGTATAACAAGTTCAGAAATATGCTTTTGCCAAGTATTTGTACTAGTAATCTTTGTACTCTCGACACATTTGAGAAAGTTATGACAGATAATTCTTTGTCAGAATCTTTAGCACTGTATATTGTTAAATGCACACAGGCAAGGCAGGTTTATCTCAGAGGTTAAAGGGAGACAACTTTATATACAGTTTACGAGTGCTTCACTTACTTTTGAAGATTATAGTAGATCTCTTCTTAATGATTGTAATTGTTGTTTGTAACTTAAAATTGTTGTAACTTGATTATATACACATGTACTCTGGGTTGGAGGCCTTTATTACAGAATAAAAGAGTCTTGAAGCATTATATATGTGAAATTATGATAGTTGCACTTATATAAATGATTCACAAATTAAATTATTGATAATAAAGTAACAAAACATTAATTTAGCCTTTTGTTATATTTTGACATGAAATATAAAAAGTTGGAACAATTGTGTAATAATGTGTGAAATAATAAAATGAAAATATAAAAATACTTGAAAATTGCTTTGACAGTAATTGGAAAATATTTGTAAAACAATACCAATAATGGTCCTTGACAAATATATTGAATATTCTATAAATACAGCGGACTAGATTTGTTTACATTAAAAGGTACAAAGTATTAATATATTTTGCAAAGAAAGCGAATTACAGTAATGTTGATTAAAACAGAAATTCAAACCATTACGGAAATTACTAACTGTTACAGCAAAGTTATAGCTATTTACTTGCAACATGCAAAGTGTAAACAATACACCGATCGACAACATCGATTTAGAATTACCTCCCTCAATGGACGGAAGTGGCGCTTCGACCCCGTGTAACTCTAGAAAGTTTACAGAATTGTCTCCCTTTCATTCACTTGCATGTTCACTTTCACTAATTTCTGCTTTTACTGAATTTGTACAGATTAAAAACTAACACATATAGAGGTTATCACGCGAGTGTGTTTGGGGATGGTAAATATCCTGCATTAGGAATAAACATTGTATTTAGCGAGCGTGATAACCTCTTTATCATATGATGTCATTCTTTAATTCTGTGCTTCAAAATCGCTTTCCCTCTCTCACAAACATTACCGAAACATTGCGAGTTTTCCTGGAATGCGCGCATTAATATTTATTACGTCACAGAGTAAGTGATGTGTCAGTCAGACTGTGACAGTAAAATATAGTTCCAACTGAAATCTGTTTCTTATCCAGTGGCAAAGCAACATATACGCAAAACTACAATTGTATTTAATTGCCTTTCGCGCCAATCCATTGGTCTGTCCGCTAGAGTAACTGCCCTTAGTCAAAGGGAAGCTACTCCAACCCTGGTCTATGAGACGTCACGGCCACGTTCAGACGTTGTTGACAGTCTGTCTGTCCTGTCATAACGTTAAGGAGTGTAGTCAGATGTACACACAGCGACAAAACGAAACAAGGTAACAATTCAAACTTATTTCGGCCAAATCCAACTGTTTTAATTTGTGGAGAAGGTTTCAAGCCGCAGAGGACTACAAGCACAGATATGGCTACTGATCCCGCTTGGCTAGGCCTCGTGCCCTCGCAAAATTGTGTCAAAATATTTATCTCCAAAGTTGCCAAAACTTATAAAATGCCTTAGCTACGTCACAGTTAGACACTGATTTTCAGTATATTAGACTGTTCTTTTGATAATGATAGCAATTATCCCTGTAGTTTATCCAGATTCCCAATTATAACCGGTAACAAATGTTATATTTGAGATAACGCTGCGAATCCCGGACGGGACTCAACCCTTAAAAGTACGAGAATCTGTACTTTACTAAGGAAATGTTATCACAAATATAACATTTGTTACATTTGACCACTTTCTAAATGGCATTGTGTATTCGAATCACCAATAGATTCCAAGATTTGTGTGCACAGCTGATTGCTACTTCCGGCTCAGTTTACGCGACAACACAAATGGTAATTATATTCTCTTCATATGACACAAGCCTAGCAGAACAGGAAATACAATTTACTCGGTAAATCATCATGACTAGGGATGTTTTATCTAACATTTCCAATTTGTATTGACCAAATTTTATATTGATGATAACACTTCCTTAGTTATATAGCGATGTGCATGCACCTGTGTGTGTATGGCTGCTTGTACTAGTCCGGACTGATGCCGATACCATGCCGTAGTTTAACATGAATACCTCACTCAGACACAGTATACTGACTCCGAGCCGACCAGTCCTTGTATTAGCCCCTAAATGCCGAGCGCCAGACAGGGTCACAACAAGTACCATCTTTTAACGTCTTTTGGTATGATGCGGTTGGGGATCGAACCCCGTACCTTCCGCTCTCCGGACGGACGCTCTACCACTAGACCACGGAGGTGGTCCGACGTAATAAGCGCTCAGGGCGCTCTCAAAATTAGAAATAGGGGGTTCTTATTAGAATATTATTTTGGTGGAAAAAAAGAGAGTTGAAAGATAAATTTTGTGGTTAATGCAGACAGCCTGAAATGATTAGGTACGACAGATATATTTCTCCTGAATTTTATTGCCCATAATTAAGGGTGTATATAACACACGAGTGCGTAATATAAGTGAATAAATTGATCAATGGGAAGGGGTGCTAATTGGGATTTTCCACTAGCCAATATCTTAGCAAATGTCGCCGTGGGCGCTTATTAGAGCGGAGCTCTTATTACGTCGATACGGTAATACAAAATTTCACAATGTAAACTGACGCCATCAAAATTGCCACCAAATGGAATAACATTTGAAATTGGAATATTTTAAGCTGTCTTTAGTGGCATTGTCAGTATGTTTAATGAATTGACACTTTTTCCATCAGATAATCATGTCGCCCATTGCTGCTTATGTAAGAGTCAATACTATCCGCCTCTATTTTTTATCCCGAGGATGAAATTCTCTTGTGTCAGGATAATTCTCCCTAGTGAATTTGAACCTATACCAGTGTGGCACTAGGGTAGGATACTATACTCTAGAGTAAAACTTCCCCCAGGATAATATTTAGGTAGGATATAATCCTTGCCTACACTTACACCAATAGTGAACCCTACAACACCGTCTGAGGAACACTACAACACTGCACACTGTAGAACACATCATACTGTGGAGAGGGTTTTGGACTCCTTAAGTCCAGGTCACGGCATGTACATCACTTATTTTACTCACAGACATACAACATTTATCAATATTTGAGACATGAGTAAGGTATACATTTGTGCTGATGACATTAAGATATGATACTTTAAGATAATACTACTACTGTTTCTCTTAATGATTGTGTGATTAAGATTATTATGTCTTTTTGTAACCGATCATCAATGAAAGCAGAAGCTACATTAACTGTCTGAATTGTTTTATTTTTGAAAATGAATCAAAGTTTATATGAACTGAATAATTGGTGACACGTTCAGTCAGCCAGAGCGGCCAGCTTCCAATGGGATGATATAGGCCAGTTTCTGTTCTTCCAAGTGGAGTCTCTTTTTTTGGACCTCAAGAAGATCCTTTAGGACTTTCAGTGTCTCCCTCTCTATGTTAACAATGGTATCCTTGTCTGAAAGAAAGTTTCATGACATGACACAAGTCTCACAGCAACAGTTATATCATCCATCTGTATACAAACTTTATCAAAACAAAAATCAGGGTTTCTTCAGTAAATTACACTTTTTTACAACTTTCCAATGTGATGTATTGCTGTATACACCACTGAGAGTGTTTGTGGCCTTCAAGTGTGAAACTGCATCAACTGTATTAAAGAAACAAATCATTTAACTGAGACTTATGAATGTTGTCTTTAAAACATAACCACATGAATACGAAATTCTGAGTTAAATAAAGAAGTTATGAACTATATTTCTAAGTCCTGTGATATTGTATACAAGATTTCGTGTTATGTTGTGGAAGGTATACTTACAATAAACTATCAGTTGTAAATCTCTCCACACCCAGAATCCTTTAAACATAACGTTTTGTGCAGTACCGGTATTTCCATTATGTATATGGTAATGACCTTGAGGAATATTATCCGCTGACATCACACTGTCAGAGATATAGTCATTAACATAAACTATGAGACCTGTTTAGTAAACAACTGCACATACAACCATTCACACTACCTATCACACAACTTACAATCCTATTCTTCACTTTCAAGGCCACACTCACAACCTTGAATTAAGCAGGAAGGTGTGGCTATGGAAACTTCTCTAAACTTGCTAAGCTGGAGGAGGTGAAGTTTGGCTTGTATTGTGTTGCTTATTATGACATCATGCTTTATATTTGAGTGTCTTTTATGATTGTTTATTTGAAATTTTTGAATATGAATGCTCACAGCATCTTTGTGGCTGTTTTTGTTGACATTTCAAACGGCTGACAACATATCCATGTGAGCTACAGTGGCACTTCTTGTCTGGTAACTCATTGTGCACATACTGAATGTGAAGATCTGTAATGGAACAAAACATAATAAGGAATCATGATTGTTTCAGCCATCCAAGGACAGGGTGAAGAATGTCCCCTGGGTAAATATGGTAAAAACTGTGATGAAACGTGCAGCGCCAACTGTGCCCCTTCTTCTACTGATGAATCTGTGTACTGTGACAAACTGACTGGACGGTGTTCGGAAGGATGCAAGAGCGGCTGGCATGGGGACCGATGTAATCACCAGTGTAGCAAGAACTGCCTCAACAATGTCTGCAACGTACAAAATGGAGCTTGCAGTAAATGTAAAGAACACTTTTCAGGGGATTATTGTGAGACAGGTACGTGGACTGAAGAATATGTATCATTTATGTTTGGCAGCATGATAACATGTACACAAAAATTATTATTCATCCATACAGTGATGACAGATTGATTGCTGAATTGTTTAAGGATACATATGTGATTTATTATTTTATTATATACGTAAGTGTGAAAGACTGAGTTTACCAAAGTTGAGAAAAGTGATATTTGCATTGCACTTGATATTTAACAGCAGTGTACATAACACTTAATATTTCACTGCTGTGAAAATCTCACTATTACAGAACTATTGTCATACAAGAGTGACCTCCCCTCAAATTGTCTCCCTTTATCATAAGTGTCTAGCCCTTACTCAAACTGTTGTCTTCCTTTATACATTTGTTCCACATTGACAAGGCAAAAGTAATGAGCGATGGCCATTTATGGAGTAAATATCGCTTCAGGCTGTTTGTTATGCTCTTGCAAATGTTTCGTAATACACTGTAAATTTCTCACTTATCTCATCAATTGAGACTGTTGGTTTTGCAAAGCGCCATTTACTTGACCAGCGTGTATTCCTTTGCTTCCAACAGCAGTTTGGTAGTTTTCAAGTATATTTTTCGCCAAAGTTTTTGTATATAGATCATATTCATATGTATGATACCAAATTTTCATGCCCCTAAATAATTTTCATTACTTTGGTTTATATTTTTTTAAGATTTTGCAAACGCAAAACTACTTTTTTAGTCGCAAATACAAGGGGTGGTGAACCGTCCCTGAGAATTAGGTAGGGATAATTTACATTTCAAGGTTTTACATTTGTATTGAAATACTAAAATTCCCGGTAGACAACTACACAAATAGCCTTTTTTGTGCGGTGGGATTATTATCACTATAATCTTACTATGTTGTTAATGAAATTCTACAAAATTCTGGGTTAAAATATGAAATGGAAATTAGAAGGGTGATTGTACCGGGAGGCTGTACAAAGGACCTATGAGGTCAAGGATTATTGATTGATTATTTCGGGGGAGGAGCTGAAATTATTATTGATAGTATTTTGTTTGTTGTCCAGGAGTAGTGTGGGGGTTTGGAGACTCACGGCTGAACAGAGAGGTTCTCTCTCTATATTAAAAATCCGGATCAGAAATATATCAGACTCAGAGTGTATCAGAGTGTGGCAGGGCATGGAGTCATCCCACAGATGACATCCTTACCTTGTCAGCTTGCTGACGGGGTTAACGTCTTTGGTCATGTGGACAAGGCGTCCGACCTCGGATCAGAAGGTCCGTGGTTCGAATCCCATCACGGGACTCGGAAATTTTATGGCCGCTATCCCCTAGATATGTGTTGTGCATAAACAAGTCAGGCTTCAGAAAAACAACTTAGGACCTCTTGTGTGTAATATTCAAGAATTCTGTCTCCAATAATGGACTGTGAGTAACAAATCCAACTTGTACTTTGAGAGAGAGCTACAGAAGAACAGTTGCCGAGGTAGAAGGGTATCCCATACCCGACACACACAGAAACATTATTCCTGGAGACCAATTTTCCGGAAACATTCCAAATTCATGAATATTATTAAAAATACTGACTAAATAATGAATAACTATATCTGAGGAATGTTTACATATTCTGATAGAACATCATCAATTCCTGTTGATTTCCTTTTTTTAACAGCATGATTAATATCCAATATTTCAGTTCTTGGGTCTTATATCGAGCTGTCGTATTGGCCATCTGTTTGATTGTAATAGCCTGTACTGTATGTGTAAAATGTGTTTAAATGTACACATTCTACTGTTTTATCACAAAGACACTTAGTATATGCTACGCACAGTAAGATCCATATTTATTAGTTGACTTTAACTGAAATAACATGGAATTGATGTATATGTGTTGAATGCAAATTCATATATATATGACTATCAGCTTCAAATTGTCATCAACATAAACTGACCACTGTCTCTCCATATTTACACAAGTTAGTACATACATCAACTGTAATAAAATCATCATCACAGTGGTGATCACAGCAATAGACAATAGAAGCCAACACTTCAGTAATTAGCACTGCCTATTGCTAGTCACCTATCAACGCCAATTATCTGGCTATTGGCTTCACTTGTTAAGTTTCCACCTTTTGTTATCTTATTGCTGTGAGAGATTCTTGCTAGTTTTTGTTTTATTCCACATAATTGTAAGGTGTACATGATGTACTTGGTCAACCACAGTTGGTCAGTGTTTTGGGCATGTCATAATGAAACACCATAATGATGGCATATATTCTTCTGGAATAAATAGAGGTTATCACACGAGTGTGTTTGGGGATGGAAACTATCCTGCATTAGGAATAAACATTGTATTTAGCGAGCCTTTGTATGCGATGTTATAGTCGGGGTATATAAACTAGCATCCATTTTGAAGGCTTGTACACAGGGGGTCGCCTTACACGTGGGGTCGCATTATAGACGGCAATATGTGGTAAGAATCAGTATAAGCATCATGGTACCTCAAAGTGCGAGACAACAGGCTACCACTTACTACTTGTCTTCCAGAATGAAATAGGCTGATGCTTGCAAGTTAGTTGATTTTGTTATTATCCTTGACTACATTTTTGGTTAAAATAATGGGACAAGTAAAGACGATGTGTTCAGTCCCATCATCATGTAAAGAGTTATTGTATTACATATTAATATATTTGAAAAAAGGGGAGAAAGGAGACATATTTCTTTTTCTTGCAGGGAGAACAAGATAATTTTCTTCTATATGCTCACGTTACATGCTCACAGTAACATGTTTGCATTGGGGAGAAAAAAATGCAAACGTGTTACTGTGAGCATGTAACGCAGGAAACATCATGTTGACAATGTATAACATCATGTTGACAATGTATAACATCATGTTGACGATGTATAACATCATGTTGACGATGTATAACATCATGTTGACAATGTATAACATCATGTTGACGATGTATAACATCATGTTGACAATGGATAACATGTTGACAATGTATAACATCATGTTGACAATGGATAACATCATGTTGACGATGTATAACATCATGTTGACAATGGATAACATGTTGACAATGTATAACATCATGTTGACAATGGATAACATGTTGACAATGTATAACATCATGTTGACAATGGATAACATGTTGACAATGTATAACATCATGTTGACGATGTATAACATCATGTTGACGATGTATAACATCATGTTGACAATGGATAACATGTTGACAATGTATAACATCATGTTGATGATGTATAACATCATGTTGACGATGTATAACATCATGTTGACAATGGATAACATGTTGACGATGTATAACATGTTGACGATGTATAACATCATGTTGACGATGTATAACATGTTGACAATGTATAACATCATGTTGACAATGGATAACATGTTGACAATGTATAACATCATGTTGATGATGTATAACATCATGTTGACGATGTATAACATCATGTTGACGATGTATAACATCATGTTGACGATGTATAACATCATGTTGACAATGGATAACATGTTGACAATGTATAACATCATGTTGACGATGTATAACATCATGTTGACGATGTATAGCATCATGTTGACGATGTATAACATGTTGACGATGTATAACATCATGTTGACAATGGATTACATGTTGACAATGTATACCATCATGTTGACAATGTATAACATCATGTTGACGATGTATAACATCATGTTGACGATGTATAACATCATGTTGACAATGTATAACATCATGTTGACGATGTATAACATCATGTTGACAATGTATAACATCATGTTGACGATGTATAACATCATGTTGACAATGGATAACATGTTGACAATGTATAACATCATGTTGATGATGTATAACATCATGTTGACGATGTATAACATCATGTTGACGATGTATAACATCATGTTGATGATGTATAACATCATGTTGACAATGGATAACATGTTGACAATGTATACCATCATGTTGACAATGTATAACATCATGTTGACGATGTATACCATCATGTTGACAATGTATAACATCATGTTGACGATGTATAACATCATGTTGACAATGGATAACATGTTGACAATGTATACCATCATGTTGATGATGTATAACATCATGTTGACGATGTATAACATCATGTTGACAATGGATAACATGTTGACAATGTATAACATCATGTTGACAATGGATAACATGTTGACAATGTATAACATCATGTTGACGATGTATAACATCATGTTGACAATGGATAACATGTTGACAATGTATAACATCATGTTGACAATGTATAACATCATGTTGACGATGTATAACATCATGTTGACGATGTATAGCATCATGTTGACGATGTATAACATGTTGACAATGTATAACATCATGTTGACAATGTATAACATCATGTTGACGATGTATAACATCATGTTGACAATGTATAACATCATGTTGACAATGGATAACATCATGTTGACAATGGATAACATCATGTTGACGATGTATAACATCATGTTGACGATGTATAACATCATGTTGACAATGTATAACATCATGTTGACAATGTATAACATCATGTTGACAATGGATAACATCATGTTGACAATGTATAACATCATGTTAACGATGTATAACATCATGTTGACGATGTATAACATCATGTTGACAATGGATAACATGTTGACAATGTATAACATCATGTTGACGATGTATAACATCATGTTGACAATGTATAACATCATGTTGACGATGTATAACATCATGTTGACAATGTATAACATCATGTTGACAATGTATAACATCATGTTGACGATGTATAACATCATGTTGACAATGTATAACATCATGTTGACAATGGATAACATGTTGACAATGTATAACATCATGTTGACAATGTATAACATCATGTTGACAATGTATAACATCATGTTGACAATGGATAACATGTTGACAATGTATAACATCATGTTGACAATGTATAACATCATGTTGACGATGTATAACATCATGTTGACAATGGATAACATGTTGACAATGTATAACATCATGTTGACAATGTATAACATCATGTTGACGATGTATAACATCATGTTGACGATGTATAACATCATGTTGACAATGTATAACATCATGTTGACGATGTATAACATCATGTTGACAATGTATAACATCATGTTGACAATGGATAACATGTTGACAATGTATAACATCATGTTGATGATGTATAACATCATGTTGACGATGTATAACATCATGTTGACAATGTATAACATCATGTTGACAATGTATAACAGCATGTTGACAATGTATAACATCATGTTGACAATGGATAACATCATGTTGACGATGTATAACATCATGTTGACGATGTATAACATCATGTTGACAATGGATAACATGTTGACAATGTATAACATCATGTTGACAATGTATAACATCATGTTGACAATGGATAACATGTTGACAATGTATAACATCATGTTGATGATGTATAACATCATGTTGACGATGTATAACATCATGTTGACAATGGATAACATGTTGACAATGTATAACATCATGTTGATGATGTATAACATCATGTTGACGATGTATAACATCATGTTGACGATGTATAACATCATGTTGACGATGTATAACATCATGTTGACAATGGATAACATGTTGACAATGTATAACATCATGTTGATGATGTATAACATCATGTTGACGATATATAGCATCATGTTGACGATGTATAACATGTTGACGATGTATAACATCATGTTGACGATGTATAACATCATGTTGACGATGTATAACATCATGTTGACGATGTATAACATCATGTTGACGATGTATAACATCATGTTGACGATGTATAACATCATGTTGATGATGTATAACATCATGTTGACGATGTTTAGCATCATGTTGACGATGTATAACATGTTGACGATGTATAACATCATGTTGACAATGTATAACATCATGTTGACGATGTATAACATCATGTTGACAATGGATAACATGTTGACAATGTATAACATCATGTTGATGATGTATAACATCATGTTGACGATGTATAGCATCATGTTGACGATGTTTAACATGTTGACGATGTATAACATCATGTTGACAATGTATAACATCATGTTGACAATGTATAACATCATGTTGACGATGTATAACATCATGTTGACGATGTATAACATCATGTTGACAATGGATAACATGTTGACAATGTATAACATCATGTTGACAATGTATAACATCATGTTGACGATGTATAACATCATGTTGACAATGGATAACATGTTGACAATGTATAACATCTTGTTGATGATGTATAACATCATGTTGACGATGTATAACATCATGTTGACGATGTATAACATCATGTTGACGATGTATAACATCATGTTGACAATGGATAACATGTTGACAATGTATAACATCATGTTGATGATGTATAACATCATGTTGACGATATATAGCATCATGTTGACGATGTATAACATGTTGACGATGTATAACATCATGTTGACAATGTATAACATCATGTTGACATTGCTACAAAAGCTCCCAAAAGGGCTCTGTAAACTCCTTCCCTTATCGTGTTGAAAATAGCCTTGATTTCACTTTACATTTGTACCATGCTCTTACATTCTCTCAAAATACATATTTGGCTATGGAAACTTCTCTAAACTTGCTAAGCTGGGGGAGGTGAAGTTTGGCTTGTATTGTGTTGCTTATTATTACATCATGCTTAGATAAAACTTTATATTTGAGTGACTTTTATGATTGTTTATTTGAAATTTTTGAATATGAATCCTCACAGCATCTTTGTGGCTGTTTTCACAGATGCATCCGTCTCGCGTACAAGATACGGCAGAGCCGTCACGCGTACACGTTACGTCTGCGACTGGTTTTTGTTAACATTTCAAACGGCTGATAACATATCCATGTGAGCTACAGTGGCACTACTTGTCTGGCAACTCACTGTGCACGTACTGAATGTGAAGATCTGTAATGGAACAAAACATAATAAGGAATCACCAACAGTTTAATCAACATGATTGTTTCAGCCATCCAAGGACAGGGTGAAGAATGTCCCCAGGGTAAATATGGTGCATCCTGTGATGAAACGTGCAGCGCCAACTGTGCCCCTTCTCCTGACAAGTCAGTCCACTGTCACAAACTGACTGGAAAGTGTTCAGAAGGATGCAATAGAGGCTGGCATGGGGACCGATGTAAGCAGCCATGTAGCAAGAACTGCCTCAACAATGTCTGTAACGTACAAAATGGAGCTTGCAGTAAATGTAAAGAACACTTTTCAGGGGATGATTGTGAGACAGGTACGTGAACTGAAAATGAATCATTTATATTTTATTTTGTCTGCATGATAACATGTACACAAAAATTATTATTCATCCATACAGTGATGACAGATTGATTGCTGAATTGTTTAAGGATACATATGTGATTTATTATTTTATTATATACGTAAGTGTGAAAGACTGAGTTTACCAAAGTTGAGAAAAGTGATATTTTCATTGCACTTGATATTTAACAGCAGTGTACATAACACTTAATATTTCACTGCTGTGAAAATAACACTTTGACAGAACTATTGTCATACAAGAGTGACCTCCCCTCAAATTGTCTCCCTTTATCATAAGTGTCTAGCCCTTACTCAAACTGTTGAGTTCCTTTATACATTTGTTCCACATTGACAAGGCAAAAATAATGAGCGATGGCCATTTATGGAGTAAATATCATTTCAGGCTGTTTGTTATGCTCTTGAAAATGTTTCGTAATACACTGTAAATTTCTCTCTTATCTCATCAATTTAGACTGTTGGTTTTGCAAAGCACCATTTAATTGACCAGCGTGTATTCTTTTGCTTCCAACAGCGTTTGGGTAGTTTTCAAGTATATTTTTCGTCAAAGTTGATTTTGTATATAAATCATATTCATATGTATGATGCAGAATTTTCATGCCCCTAAATAATTTTCGCTACTTTTGTTTATATTTTTTTTAAGATTTTGCAAATGCAAAACTACTTTTTTAGTCGCAAATACAAGGGGTGGAATACCTGTGTATTAGGTAGGCAGAATTTACATTTCAAGGTTTTACATTTGTAATGAAATACTAAAATTCCCGGTAGACAACTACACAAATAGCTTTTTTTGTGCGGTGGGATCATTATCACTATAATCTTACTATGTTGTTAATGAAATTCTACAAAGTTCTGGGTTAAAATATGAAATGGAAATGAGAAGGGTGATTGTACCGGGAGGCTGTACAAAGCACCTATGAGGTCAAGGATTATTGATTGCGTTTCTCTTTGTAATAGAATTAACTTCTTAAGAGTTGAAGGGAATTACCAAGATCTGGTCTTGATATACAAGTGCCAAAGAGCAAATGAAAAGATGGAATAAATTATCAGTATTGACATGACCAAATATTGTAAGAACTACTGCTTGAATGGAATGGTCTGATTAAAGGTTTTCTGGCACCAAACAGCCTGACATAGTATTTGGTTTTCATCCTATGTTTACTTGACTGATTAACTATTTCTGATTGACTGATAAATTTAGGTAGTTAATCAAGTTATTTTAGACAAGAAGAGTTTGATAGCACGAACTAAATTACCATTTGAGGGAAGGGCAATTAGCTTTTATTGAGATAAGCTTATGACTCATTCTGCATGACATTGAACATTATTTCAGGGGAGGAGCTGAAATTATTATTGATAGTATTTTGTTTGTTGTCCAGGAGTAGTGTGGGGGTTTGGAGACTCACGGCTGAACAGAGAGGTTCTCTCTCTATATTAAAAATCCGGATCAGAAATATATCAGACTCAGAGTGTATCAGAGTGTGGCAGGGCATGGAGTCATCCCACAGATGACATCCTTACCTTGTCAGCTTGCTGACGGGGTTAACGTCTTTGGTCATGTGGACAAGGCGTCCGACCTCGGATCAGAAGGTCCGTGGTTCGAATCCCATCACGGGACTCGGAAATTTTATGGCCGCTATCCCCTAGATATGTGTTGTGCATAAACAAGTCAGGCTTCAGAAAAACAACTTAGGACCTCTTGTGTGTAATATTCAAGAATTCTGTCTCCAATAATGGACTGTGAGTAACAAATCCAACTTGTACTTTGAGAGAGAGCTACAGAAGAACAGTTGCCGAGGTAGAAGGGTATCCCATACCCGACACACACAGAAACATTATTCCTGGAGACCAATTTTCCGGAAACATTCCAAATTCATGAATATTATTAAAAATACTGACTAAATAATGAATAACTATATCTGAGGAATGTTTACATATTCCGATAGAACATCATCAATTCCTGTTGATTTCCTTTTGTTAACGGCATAATTAATATCCAATATTTCAGTTCTTGCGTCTTATATCGAGCTGTCGTATTGGCCATCTGTTTGATTGTAATAGCCTGTACTGTATGTGTAAAATGTGTTTAAATGTACACATTCTACTGTTTTATCACAAAGACACTTAGTATATGCTACGCACAGTAAGGTCCATATTTATTAGTTGACTTTAACTGAAATAACATGGAATTGATGTATATGTGTCGAATGCAAATTCATATATATGACTATCAGCTTCAAATTGTCATCAACATAAACTGACCACTGTCTCTCCATATTTACACAAGTTAGTACATACATCAACTGTAATAAAATCATCATCACAGTGGTGATCACAGCAATAGACAATAGAAGCCAACACTTCAGTAATTAGCACTGTCTATTGCTAATCACCTATCAACGCCAATTATCTGGCTGTTGGCTTCACTTGTTAAGTTTCCACCTTTTGTTATCTTATTGCTGTGAGAGATTCTTGCTAGTTTTTGTTTCCTTCCACATAATTGTACATGATGCACTTGGTCAACCACAGTCGGTCAATGTTTTAGGCATGTCATAATGATGGCATATATTCTTCTTGAATAAATAGAGGTTATCACGTGAGTGTGTTTGGGAATGGTAAATATCCAGTATTAGGAATAAACATTGTATTTAGCAAGCCTTGGCGAGCTAAATACATAGTGTTTATTCCTACTACAGTATATTTACCATCCCCAAAAGACAGAAGCGTGATAACCTCTTTATCATATAATGTCATTCTTAATTCTGTGCTAGAAAATCGCTTTCCCTCTCTCACAAACATAACCGAAAAATTGTGCGCATTAATATTTATTACATCACAGGGTAAGTGAAGTGTCAGTCGGACAGTGAGAGTAGCCAATATAGTTCCAACTGAAATCTGTTTCTTATACAGTGGCAAAGCAACATATACGCAAAACAACAATTGTTTTTACTTGCCTCTCGCTGGAATCCATTGGTCTATCCTCTAGAGTAACCGCCCTTTGTCAAAGGAAAGCTACTTTAACCCTAGTCTATGAGACCTCACAGCCACGTTCAGACGTTGTTGACAGTCGGTCTGTCCTGTCATAACGTTAAGAAGTGTAGTCAGATGTACACACAGCGACAAAACGAAACAAGGTAACAATTCAAACATATTTCGGCCAAATCCAACTATTTTAATTTGTGGAAAAGGTTTCAAGCCGCAGAGGTCTACAAGCACAGATATGGCTACTGATCCCGCTTGGCTAGGCCTCGTGCCCTCGCAAAATTGTTTCGAAATATATATCTCCAATGTTGCCAAAACTTATAAAATGCCTCGGCTACGTCACAGTTAGACACTGATTTTCAGTATGTTAGACTATCCTTTTGATAATGATAGCAATTATCCCTGTAGTTTATCCACATTCCCGATGTTTAATTCTGACTCGATCGCAGAATGACGAGGGCGACGCCATGTTTGTTTATAAACACTGAAAATAGTTCCTAATTGACCTTTGATCTATCCGCATATGACCCCAAAGGATATAATTTTTATCTGTTGGTTTTATCCTGCTGAGAAACCCTCCCATTATATGATAAAGACTAGTTATTTCACTTTGGGAACTTGAGAAATGAAAGTGAAAATGGAATTGTATTGTCAACAGGTACCACCCCACCACCTAACCTGGCTGCAATACTGACCCCTGTGATTTTGATCCTGGCAGTCATTGCAGTCTTGGCAGCCATTGGAGTCATTGTGTATAAGAGGTAAGATTATTCCAATGGGATCTTTGGAAATTCCTATAAAAATGTATATGCTAGTAAGTAGTTGTAAGTTGAGAATTGTGTTAACATGTGTTAGGAAAATGGGGACACGGTGGCCCAGTTGTTTAAGTGCACCGTGATTCACTGCATAGACTTACATCCCTTGGGCATGCCAGACATCTATGATTGTGGGTTCAAATCCTGGTTCGCCCCGATTATGTTTCTAGGTTTGTCAGCACCATACCCGTGCTCGTGGGTTTCACTGATGTAGTAAATGTCTGAGACCTGTTCGGTCTTTCCTCCCACATTAAGCTGACACATCATGATATAACTGGAATACTGTTAAAGCGGCAATAAACCAACTCACTCACTCACATGTTAGGAAAATTGTAAGAGAAAGTTGTTTGAGTGGAAAGGCACTTTATGATGAGAATGTGTGACTTCATCTTCCCGAGGCAAGAGAGTTAACTGACTTTAAAAGTCCAGTTTCCACCCTTGCCGAACTAGGCTGGAATTCCTGGGCTCGATCATAGAGCCGACAGTGGCTATTACGAGTTATGTCCTTTATACGCATCTCCTATTGACCAATCAGATTCAACCTCTCGTATCACTTGCATTTGCTTCAAATAAAACGGTGGCGCCCAGTCAAGATGATCTGATCGATAATCAAGATCTATATTGTGATAAAACGAGTCTTACATCGCAAAGTGCATCAAAGCATGTGAGCACGTGAGAAAAGATTTAGAAAATATCTGTTGACAACGAGTTAGTGGTGCACATGCTTTGCAAATCCTGCAGTCGACCGAAATCTGCATGACACTTTACGAACCGGATTTCGATTTCAGTGCACGATTTTGATTGGACTATGCATAGACTCGTTAGTCCAGCCAAAATGTAACTCCATAATACCAGCCTAGTTCGGCAAGGGTGGAAACTAGACTTTTAAGTCAGTTAACTCACTTGCCTCGGGAAGATGGTGTGACTAACTGTATTTTCTTGAGAATAGTGCGCACTTTTTTTCCAAAAAACACAGCTGTGTAGAAGTGGGTGCGCATTATACACGAGTTATGAGTTTGGATGTTTTTTTTTGAAAGACATTACCGTAAGCACGTAACACCGGAAATACCATGCCAACAATTCCACACTGAAGTACGCAAATTAATCATGTAATTACACTGTCTGGCTATAAAAAGTGTTCTTTGTATATCTGGACTAACGTTTGTAAACATAAAAAATAAAAGGGGATATTTCATTTGACATCTAAGACTCTTTTCCCCAATTAGGACATGACTTTCACCAACTGGCCCTGCTTGCACAGAGCCCCCTTAGCTTTAAGGTGATCCCTACACTAACGGCACAAACCTCTTTCACAAAGCCCCCTTAAATAGAGATCACAAGCTAGTAAAAAATCGGTGAGAATGACCCATCCTCAGCCATGACAATTCCCGTAATAATGGTGGCATTCATCATATTGAATGAATCTTTGAAACAGAATCCGATCAAAAGCAAAAGAATATTTTTTGGGGGATTGCTCCTACATGCTATCTGATGATGATCTTATTGCTAGGTACAGAATGCCAAGAGCAGCTATCTTTGGTCATCATGTTAGAAAATGTGGAAGTTTTACTTCATCAGCAATAATATTTAGCCTGTTGCTGCCTTCACACTCATTTTGTCTTAGTTGGTATAGACATTTTACAACCTCTTCTGTCATCTGTGCGATTATACCATTGCAAAAGAGTTTCAGATTAGTGCAAAGGGCAGTTGTAGAAATCTTACGATGACTCTAAGGGCGCTTTTGTGAAACCAGTTTTGATATTTTGTAAAGGCACCCTTAACATCCTTGCAACTGCTAAGAGTTCCCTTAGCATGGCAGGCACTGGACCAACTTGCACAAAATGATCATAACTCCCATACTTTAACATAGGCTTACGATGATCTTAGCGTTAAGATGGCTTTGTGCAAGTGGGCCCACTAAGGTTTTGTCAGAATTGGACCTCTGCCATCATTAATGACACTGCCACACTTTATTTATATGTCAAGTATATCTCCTATATACTCCTTATGGCAGTGGTGATATTAGAAATAATTGTGAGTGATCCACAAATAGGTCAAGGTCACCGAGGTCATTTGCCAGTAATATTTGCCATTTCCACCGTATGTCTTTTCCTACCAGGGTGCGAAATGAATAAATTCAAGTGTGCCGATTACAATCACGATGGTACTGTTAAAACAAACTTCACTGCCCTTATGGTACACCTACTATTTTTTAGCATATATAACAAATCTATTTTCAAACACTAACTCATGAAATTAATCAGGTGAAAATTATATATACTGAACAACAAAAGTTCCTGTGACATTGAATGAGATTTAATGCAAAGTTATGTTTTTTACCAAATCTGAAACAATTTTGGTTTGCAACAGATAAAAGACTCCTGTAAGTGTTTAAATGGTTTAATTTGTCATACTGACTTCAGAAAAGAAAATGCGAGATTTCATAAGAAAACATGAACATGCCAAAATGTCAAATTACAAATCAAAAGCGTGTCCTGGAGTGTCTGTGGAACACGTGGTTGATGTTGAAGGCGCCGATCCATCTCATCCCTCATGTGCTCAATTGGTGAGAGATCAGTGGAGTGAGCCGGCCAGGGGATGACATTCACGTTGTTTTGTTGAAGAGAATCCTGAACAAGTCGAACAATATGAGTCCGGGCGTTGTCATGTCGAAAGGTAATACCTGGGCCATGACGACGCAAAAACGGTAGAACAACAGGACTGTCCATTAAGATTTCCCTCTACCACTATCAAACTTGCTGATATCCCACCCCATACCATAATGCTGCCGCCCCACGAACTGATCTTCCATGATACAATGATTGACTTAACGTTCACCTCGACGTCGGTACACTCGAATCCGTCCATCGCTGTGGCTGTGGTGAAAACGAGACTCGTCAGTGAATAGAACTTGTCCCCACTGCATGGCTGTCCAGCGTAGATGCTGTCTGCACCACTATAGACGTGCTTGATGGTGGTTCCCTGTCAAAATGGGACGTCAGGCGGGGCTTCTGGCGACATCCCTGCACATCTGAGGCGGCGACGTACGGTTTGTAAAGCTATTCGTTGAAGGCCAGGTAGGCTTTTTGCAGTCACTGTTGCTGGCTGGAATCAATTTCGTAGGTGTGTTGTTCGAATCCAGTTGTCTTGTCGATTATTGGTTACATTAGGCTTGCCACTCCGAGGATGGTCTCTGACTGCATTCGTCTGTTGCCAACGTTGCCATAAACACCAAATGGTGTTTCTGTGGACGTTAAGTTGTCTTGCAACATCACATTGACTTGATCCTGCTTCAAGCATACCAATGGCTCGCAGATGCTCATTTTCAGACAGGCGTGGCATTTCGTAATGTTGAATAATTGCGTAATTTTGGTGTTTTTCTGAGTGGTTGTTGTCAGCACGATGCTAAACAAGGCATATGGAATCCCATTAACGCACATGTTTTTATACCCATTCTTGGGTAGTGAAATGCATGGGGCTTGCATAAAAGTCAACTTTAGCATGGAATGCATGCTTTTCTGTAGCAGTTGCATTTTGTGACTTGATTCCATACATGTACTACAATATTGAAAACCAAACTTTACTTGTTTGAAAAATGCACTAAGATATTGGTGTCACAGGAACTTTTGTTGTTGAGTATAGTTTGGACTTCATCCCAGCTTCTATGTATGCAACGGCAACAACTCCTATCCCAAGTCCATTCTTGAGCAGTCTCGTCTCAGGACAAAAAGATGGTTATGACACCATCCATGATGACCCCCAAACTTTTCAACGACCAGCTTGGGACATCACAGACAAGGTGAGAGAAGATACAAGCAAGTGTGACACGGGACCTTCCCAGGTCTGGTGGACCACGTTTCACTACCAGAGCACGACCGGACAGATTCACACGGCTTTGTCACTTGAGTCAAAGAACCACCACGGCAACCTCTACAACTACGGCAATACCAGGATCGTGTAGGGTATCAGCCCAGACAGTGAGGAACTGAAGGTATTCACGCTAGACGGCCAGCTCGACGTGTCATTTGGGCGGACCTGCATCGTCTGTTGCGAAGTCAATGGTGTCAAGATGGCAGAGTATGGCCACAACTGGGATGGAGACAAGTTTGGTTTACTGATGAGACATGTTTTATGCTTCGCCTTGTGGATGAGAGACGTCGTGGTGGATGTAGTGTGATCATGTGGGCAGGCCTCCCTTACATTGGTAGAACAGACTTGGTCCAAGTTCAAGGAAATTTGACGGCACAACGTTACACAGGTGTGATTCTTCAGCCACACATCCTTCCCATTATGCAATAAGCGAACGTCATTTTCCAACATGACAACGCCTGACCTCACAAGGCAAGACTGACAACAGTCTTTTTGAGGAATCACAACATTCAGGTCCTGCCATGGCCCTCCAGGTCTCCAGATTTAAACCCATTTGAAAACATTCAAGATATTGAGAACAGATGACCTTCACCTTGAAAATCTACTGTTCCATATGTGCCATATGGGAACCTGGGTCAATGACAATGATGTGTGCAAATTTTGAATATTCATATTTATATGATCAGGGTTTTCCCTGATGCAGAAATCCTGGGTATTTGATGCAATTTTAGAAGAAAATATGCAATTCAGATTGTCATAATCAGTTGATTGCACTATACGGTCTTTTTTGTCAGAGTATATGTCATGTCATTCAAAAATAAGGCATTAGTTTGTTCACTGACAGTTTACATTGCAAATAAAGAAGTGGCTATAGTTTAATGGGTTTTTCGTTAACAAGACAGAATTTTTTACATTTAGCCCTTTCTGCTTTTCTAATCAGTCTTTAATTTTACACCATGGAGTAGAAAATCCAGCACTATGTAACTCTGTTAAATTGCATTGGTTGGCCCAGTGCTGCTTGATATGTATCCCAATCATGAAACATTTAAAGGGTCAAGGACCATGTTTCTGTGTTCAATGGACAGTAACTTTTCAAAGGCGGTGATCATCCTGAGACTTACAATGACCATAAAATTTTTAACTTTTGATTTACAAGTCTGCTTAATTCTACAGTCGTGAATTTGGTGACTAAGATTGTATGTGGTAATAAAAGGTTTTGTTTGAATCCTGGAAATCAATCTCATTTTCTACAGGCTGTCTATTCACAAATCAAAACAAGAAATAAGTAAACGGGGTGAACCTCTAATCCATGGGTTCTGGTCACGATGACATGAAGTCAGTAGGGGACAGCAAGTAGATCATCATTATGAATAAACTACAAGTGATTTCATGACATCTGATTGGCTAACCAACTAAACCGAGTAATTATAGTGATTTGTTCGCATAAACCTAAAACAAAATAGGCCACGACCACAAGCAGGCTCCTCAGCACTACCAGCAACACATAGCCTCCAGGCCATATAAAACTGATAAATGAAAACTTCAATTTAAAATATTTGTACTTATATTATTTTGTCATTTGATTGTTTTAGATATATTAAGTTACACACAACAAGAGTTTTTGACAAATAAAAATGTTTTCCCAATTATAGTGTTTGTCCTATGTTTGCAGTAATGGCCAGTAACAATTTACACCTTCATAGACATTCATTTATGAAACATTGAATGTTTCTGACATACATTCCAATGTCTTGAAAGATATTGTGAGTTTAGGAAGTATGGATTTTCTTGACAAAGATTTTAATCCTTGATGGGCAACTCAAATGTATTATTTCCATATCACTTCATTCAAACACAGGGGGCACGGGTGGCCCAGTCGTCCAAGGCACCACAATTCGCTGTGCAAAGTTGCGTCCCTTGGGCACCCCAGAAAATGGGGACACAGTGGCCCAGTTGTTTAAGTGCACCGTGATTCACTGCATAGATTTACATCCCTTGGGCACCCCAGTAACCTATGATTGTAGGTTTGAATCCCGGTTCGCCCAGATTATGTTTCTAGGTTTGTCAACACCATCACTCGTGGGTTTCACCGAAATGATAAATGTCTGAGACCTGCATCCCTTCAGGCTTTCCTCCCACATTAAGCTGACACGCCGCGATATAACTGGAATACTGTGAAAAGCGGTGTCAAACTCAACTCACTCACTCACTCAGTCATTCAAACACAAATCTGTATCCTGATTGGCTGTTAATAGAGTAGGTGGGAATTAACTTGAGGAATTGATTGATATTTGTCTTGTCACTTGTGTTGCATTATTGCTCTGAACAGTGTCACTTATTTCATATTCTTGGTTTGTGTTAAATGTGCAGTCTCTGAAGTTATTATTGTTGCATCACTATCAGTGTGTCTATGGTCGCCTGATCAAGGAAGAGGCAAAAGGTAATACTAGAAATATTGTGTGTTTTTAGGAAACACTTTGATTGAGATCAAACATTACATATGCCTATGATTAGGATTTTGATAGATAAATTATGTAGATGATTGTCTTTCTCATTTTCAGGAAATCAAAAAAGCGTAAGTATTTGAAAATGTATTATCAATAACATGAATGTTATGTACTTCCCAATCTTCAGCCATTTGTTTCTTGTCTGACTTTTAGTGTGCAGTTGGTATATGTACCATGCTCCAGAAACTTTCATTCACTCTTCAATATGCTTTTAGTCCTGTCAGTCTTCTGTCTGGCCTACACTGCCATGTGAGCCCATGCTGTCGCAAGTTGTCCATCTTCTGTCAGCAGCGTCCCTAAACAATTTCCATTTTCAACTCTTTCTTTTAAAGGATTGATGTATATTTTATTTATAAGGGGTTCAAGTTTGAAGGGGTGCAATGTATGAAAATTGAAATGGTAAATATTTAAAAGAAATAATTTCATATATTTCTGCTACAAAAGTCATTGTTGGAAATTAAATATGACTGCTTTCATTGAAAACGGCCACAACAGTAGCATATTTCTATTACCAAGAACTTCTCTTCAGAAAGAATGAGACATAATTTTTAGACTACATTACCACCTTGGCAAGGTCTCTAGATGATTAGACTTTGTTTGCAAAAACTGGAAAGCATTATTTCAGCCATGTCATTGTACAGCACACCAAGAACAGGCTACAACTGTGTTACCCATGTTGGGAACAATTCTAATGTCAAGACCAAATCAAGTGACAAGACTTTTCTTTCACTAACAACGCTTTTGTGATGGGGATGTTTTCTTAATTATGAAGTGATCTATTTAAAATGATAAAATAGGGATCACTGGAGTGAATAGGAACAGATAATATTATTTTCACATTTAAAGCAAATATAAAAGATGTTTGGATAGAAATAGTTGTGTATCTAAAGAAAATCATGAACTCCGAAATAATGTCTATATTTTATATTATATTGCACATGTTGATCATCAGAAATGATGCTTGTTGACTATTATTCTTCAAAACGAATTCCTGTAAACAGGTATTAATTTGGTCTGGTCAAAGGTATTTATTTTGTTATTTTTAAGCTTGGTATAGGCCACAAAAAGATGGTTTAATGTGGGAGGAGAACCTGCAACACTGCTGTAGCTTTAAGCAAGGTGTACCTAACAAAGTGGAAGACTTTCACTCTCATGCTGGTCTTCCATGATATTATGATAATTGACAAAAACAACTCTCGTCTAGAGGTCATTCTCCATACATCTAAAGGACTCTAATTTTCAGCCCAAAAACATGTTGATACTGAAGGACATGAAGGAGAGCCACTTAACCCTCCTCCAGAGGAGACCAGCATCTTAGGTAAGATAGATGTAAAATGCCAGGTGAGATTATGTCACGGCCGGCATAAGGTATTTACTTTGTTACCTCCAAACATGGTATTAACAGGATAAAGAAACTTCCAATATGAAGTGGTTTTCATCAAGCTGCTTGATTGGCATTCTGGAAGTTGTTGAGTAAATAAGATGTACAACTCTGTGGATAACAGCTTCTGGTTTATTACATTTAGCAACATTTCTACTCCATTATCAGGCGGGAATGATGCCAACCAAGTGATGACAGTAGCACATTAACATTAACTGCAAATGATAATAGAGAACAAGTATACGTAGCATGCAGATATTTATGAAGCCAAATGTACAATAAGGACAACAAATAGAAAACAGGTAATGAAGCCAGATGTACAGTAAGGATAAGGATTAAGAAGTTATAACAAGCTGATTGGATAGTAATTGAAAAGACTCCTACAAACAGGACATTACATCCAATCTGTTTATAAAGATGTATTCAAGCAAAAGACTGTTTTCAATTAGTAGAAAAACTGCTTGTTACAACTTCTTAATCCTTATCCTTACTGTACATCTGATGTCCCAAAATGGTATTGTTAGGATGTAAGTTCAACTGATAGATCAAGGAAACTGAAACATAGGGGATACTGATGGTGTAAGTGACTGATTGTAGGTTCAAGATTCAAAGAGCGATGCAGTTCCATTTTTTGAAGATTTCCTACAGTTGGTCTGCGTACAAACAACTATTGGCTTAAATAACCATTGGAAATGAATTTTACTAAATTTTGTTTGTGTTTGTTTTCCTTTATATCTAATACAGTTGGCTACATATACAGTGAGCTACTATTTTGGCCTATTTTGTATTACACATACCCTATGACCTGTATGTTATGGTTTGAAGTCCTTGTAGATACCCTATACACCCAGGGTAAATCACTCTTCATACTTTTAATGGACTCTAATTTTCAGCCACAGTACATTCAGCACCTGAAGGACAGGAAGGTGATTCACCCGACCCTCCTCGAGGGGATCCTGACACCTCAGGTAAGATGTAGGTGTAACATGTCAGCTGACCTGTGTGTCCATCACAACTTGCAATCCCTCTTCATTATCTCAACAGTATTATTATAATATTGCCATGATATTTCTCTCTGTGCTTCTATATATTTACCCTGGTGCTTTCCATCTCATGATATGATCTCGGTTTCTGTGTCACATCTCATCTAGATCACTCCATAATTTAGGGTACTCTAATTTGCAGCCCAAGAAAATGTAGAAACTGAACTGCAGGAACAGGATTCATTGCACCCCCATCAAGTGGAGCTTGACACACAAGGTGAAAGAAAGGATATGGCTGAGAAAAGTGCAGATGTAGAGTGTTGATGTGTCTGACTTCAATTTAAACTTTTGAAATATTTTCCGCTATAGTTTCAATATTTAACATTCAATTACTAGCTCACCTGTCTTAAAGTCATGTGAGCATTTGTGCTTTCTTGTTTGTTGTCCATCTTGGCAGTGTTGTCAGAAGCGTTATTCAAAAGTCATAGGACCAATTTAGCTGGCCACCATGGAAGCCATGTTGCCAGGCTCATGTTCAGCCAATTCTCTGCCACTTTTGAAATGTTGTTTTGTGTAATTCGTGTAGCTCAAAAAAGGTTCAGTATCTTTTGTGATGTTTCAATTATTGATCCTAGTTTGACCTATGCCAAAAGCATAGTCCATTGATGTACAGATGTGTGGCGGATGTGTGTGTGTGTGTGTGTGTGGCAGGAGAGAAGTTAGTGTGTCATTTATAAACTGTTGATTTTTTTTCATGTTTCTAACCATAAGAGCTTGAATTATTAAAAAGTCAAATTAATATAATATAATTGAAAAGATTTAAGAATTAAAAGACATTAATTATTAAACATTAACACTGGAGAATAATCTGTCACAATTATCCTTAACAGATTTCCTTGGGCTTAAAGGGGCACTGATCTAAAGCAATTTCTGGGACTGGTTGTTACCTCTGTTATTGTTTTTTCCCCTGAGTATCCGGATGATATAGCAGAAACCTAGACTAGTTCCCGACCTGTGCTGCGCAATTTGTAAGCGCAATTATCACTTTCATTGATAGTATAAGGGCGTATGGTCACATTGATCAATAAAAGGAAATACAGTTTCCGAAATAATAAGGAAATGTTGGTTCTTTGTGGGTAGCATCGGTAATGGTGACGAAGTTTTGATAAGTCACTTGCTTGATAATTGTGCGATTTTTGTTTACACTATTTTGACTTGCAACACAAAGTAAATATTTCTCCTGACCATTGCTTATGTTATCGTGTTTATATTTTTACAGTCAAAATGTGCAAAATTTTTACTTAGGAAATATATTAAATGCCTGAATATTCAGTTATTTTACAAAGTGACTGAAAAAATATGTCCATCTGTATTATTATGACAACGAATTTAAAACATGTTTATGTTTAATATCATCACCAAGAGACTGAAAATGTTATGATGAATTGTACATTTCTATATTGTTTGGCTTCTAATCCTACATAATAATCTATTGTGATGTTTTAAGGCCCTTTTGATCATCTTAATCAATTTTAGCCAATCTGTTAAAGAAATGGACAGATTTTACAGTAAAAAAGACTGAAATATTTACACATTTTATAAATTACCTGAGAGAATCACATTTTACTAATTGACTGTAATATATGGGTGAGCGAGTACGGTTTTACGCCGGTTTTAGCAATATTCCAGCAATATCACGGCGGGGGACACCAGAAATGGGCTTCACACATTGTACCCATGTTGGGAATCGAACCCGTGTCTTTGGCGTGACGAGCGAACGCTTTAACCACTAGGCTACCCGACCGCCCCGACTGTAATATATTCACGCTTACAAAGGAAAAGACTTGTGAAAACAACGTCTATCGCTAATATCATAATTACAACCTACCAAATTTATGTGTATAATTTTAGGCAGCTTCCTTGTTCGAGGAATGTATCCGTGAATATCCACACAAAGGAACAATATCCCACGCGTCTGCAGCTGTACAAAGAAACTTATTCGATGTCACGTGTCTCTGTACCAATCAACTATTTTAAAAGATATATATCGTTTCAGGATATTATAACCTGTGTTCGTTTCTCAACTGATCACTTAGATTGTTTCAGGTGTTTCACAAAGGTGTCAAGTCTCAAAGGTCGGCTGAGAAAGCCCACGTGACAACTATTTTCATAACGACCACGGTTCCTAAAAAACTCCATTGAGTTAGATAACAATGAGCAATTAATCAACGTATTATCGGTTAACCCTTTGAACAAAGTATGTTGTTTTTACATCAGCACTTCACGCCATGATAGGAGTGTATTCCCTTTGTTTTAATAAACCTAGACATGTGAACACTCACTTTTGACATATCCACTGTGCAAGATAACAGTGATTAATCAATCAATGTATTTTCTGTTAATCCCTTGATGACTAGGAACGATCCGTTGATTTACAAAAAAAGTAAATCAACTGATCATTCATCTCTTGCTTGGCTGCTAAAGACATAAATTAAATTGCGCCCTTTGTCGAAATCTTTATTGATCACGGTTAACCAATCAGTGTTCAAAAATGAGTAAAACAAATATTGCCTCCAAATTTATTTAGCTGTCCTTGCAGACAGTAGCCCAGTCTCTTGTCACGCTCAGTTGTGTTGTGTATCATCCGGGTACTCACAGGGAAAAACAATAACAAAGGCAACAACCAGTCCCGGGGAATTGCTTTAGATCAGTGCCCCTTTAAGAGGCAAAATTGCAGTGAAAATTGTATGAATGAATCAGCAATGAGGTTTAAGACTTTTTTGGCTGGCTATAGGAAGAGCTGTGATTACCAGTCAGCTTGAGAAACTATTTCACATTGATTGAAGTAATAAACTCAATATAATTATTGAATTTTTTTTTCAAAATTATTCAAACATAATAAGAATTCAAGGGTTTTTTTGAAAGTTGAAGTCATCCCTCTTGTCATACAGTCTGTAGAGTGTTTTGTCACTCTGAATCTTTATGCATAGGTCTAACTATGAAACAGATGAGGCGATCTCTGCTATTTCTAGTTCAGGTGGGTATATCAGTGGAAGGGAACTGGCTATTTGATGGCTACTGGACAATATCAGATCATTGGTATACCTGAAGCTCAAGTTAAACTACTTGCCAATCCAATCAGTTGTGATTATATGTGAGATATTACATTTTACAACTTATCCTATCTATGCATTTCTCATTCTTCTTTCGATCATATGTTGAAAGGTGCTTAAACAAATGTTTCCAGCTTCTGAAAAAGCAATCCACCCGAACACGCCTAGTTGGTGTCAGCACAAAATATACTAGCCACATAAAGAAACTGTGCCCGGAGAAAATATATTCTGGATTGAAATACAACACAGCAAGAACAAAATGATGCAGACGCTGTAGCAGCTGAATGATCGGACCATAAGAAAACGTCAAGAGACCTGAACAACATCTGTTACGATGACATCAGAAGATCAAAATGGAGTAGGGGGTCAAACGACAAAGTCACAAAGTCAATAACGGGTATGAACACCCTGTGCGTGAATCACAGCAGTGCTTCCGGGGACGCATGGAGTCCACCAAATGGGCATGGAAGGCCTTGGGAATGGCCTGCCATATCCTCCTCAAATCCTGTGCCAAGTCACGGACGTTATCTGGAGGATGTGGAAGTCAACGCAGACGGCGCTCCATTTCATCCCACACATGCTCTATTGGGGAGAGATCTGGAGAAATTGCAGGCCATGGCAGTAACATGACATTGTTATGGTGAAGGAAATCCATTGCGACCCTAGCCGTGTGAGGACGAGCGTTGTCCTGTTGAAATGTAAATTCCGGGCCATGACGTTGCAGGAAAGGAATGACCACAGGCCTCAGAATCTGATCTCTGTTGCCAACACCGGTGAGATTGCCCTGAACAACCACCAAAGGGGTTCAGTGCCGTGCTGTTATCCCACCCCAAATCATCACAGAGCCACCTCCAAAACGATTCCTCTCCACAATACAGTTGCGTGCATAACGTTCTCCCAAACGCCGGTAGACACGTTGGCGCCCGTCACTGTGGGAAATGTTGAACCTCGATTCATTTGTAAAGACAACATTTCTCCACCATATTCGAGGTTGGCGAACATGATTTCGACACCATCTTAGACGGTTGACTCGATGACGGTGTGTCAGAATGGGACGTATGGCAGGGCATCGTGGTCGAATCCCGTACTGACGTAAACGATTCCTGACAGTGTTGGGATGGATACGGCGCAGTCCAGGAATTGTCTGGGACGTCGTTACTGCCGTTTGGAACCTGTGTCGGAGATGTGTAACTCGAATCCATCTGTCCTGTCCTGGCGCGTTACTCGGGGACGTCCTGAACGTGGGTGGTCGGCAACGTCATTTGTGTTCTGATAACGCCTCACCAATGCCGATATCGTGTTACGATGGCATTGGAAATATGTTGCCACCTGTTGTTGCCTCATTCCCGCTCGGATCATTCCAATGGCTTCATGACGCTGTGCAGCTGTCAATCTTGGCATGATTTGTTTGTGATATGCTTGTGTCTACGCCTGAGAAGTTTTGAATTTTTTGAATGACCACAGATCATGCTTTCCAAAGTGACAACGAATTTTGAGTTGCACATGCTGTGTACAGCTGCACAGGATGCACGTGCAGTAACACATTGCACGTCCATAGGCCCCCATCAATGACGTCATATCGCATGGCACGTGCATGAGCGTTTGAATGTCTCCAATAATTGCTGTGTACAAACCTATATTTCATATATGGACGGTGTGCCCTTATATCTATATTTTCTCCGTGCACAGTTTCTTTTTGTGGCTAGTATATGATCAAGTAAAAAAAGTAAATTCGAAGGCTTCCTGAGGCATTTAGGCAAATATTTATACAATCAAAGAAAAGGGTGATTGGGTTTGCTGGGAGAAAGAGACTTTGTCTAAAAGGTGCTGTTTGTCAAAGGATGGTTGCCAATATTTTGATAAGTTAAAGCAGCTGTTGAAAGATTTCAAGCAGTGTGTGTGTGTGTCTTCTGAGATCAAGACTTAGTTTTGAACAGAAGATAGATCATTTACACCATGCTGTAACTTTGGCAGATGATTACTTGGTTCCTACCCGTAACGATCCGGGGTAGAATAGGTCTTCAACAACCCATGCTTGCCGTAAAAGGCGACTATGCTTTTCATAAGGAACATTGCTGAGTGCGTCGTAAAACAACAAACATAACTCGGTTACTCATATAAAGATAATTTCAGGTAGTAGAATTACTCTCCCAAGAATGATCAGGTTAATTTCAGATCAACGTTATGGGGTTTTGTTTTTTGTGGTTGAGAGTAAAATAAATCTCCTTTGAAGACATATGCAAGCTCAGTGTTATGTCTCAGCATTGGAGGGGATCTGGCAGTTTGGATAAACTTGTTAAACAGAATGCTCAGAGTTGAACTTTGTGCTGCATTGTGTTTTCTTTTTTGCAGATTAAGAAATTGAATTTTTATATTTGTTTTACTTTTTCTATATTGTTATAAAATTGGTGCTTTGTCATGTTTATGTGCATAATGGCTACAAGAAGATTCAAGTTACCTGTCATAAGGTTAGAGGTCATGGTCACTTGATAAAATGTAGTGACTTTTTTCATACATATCATTTCGTCCTGATCAGTGTTGCAGAAAATGGAGATGTATACCTATTAAATGGCTGCCTTTGTTGAATACACAAAGAGGTGAGCTGCAGTCAAGTGGGACTATTTTGTTAATTATTGCCTTAGCATAGTGACAAATGATGACAATACAGAACCCAGTGTATACTCAGTGCAAAATATCAAAACGATAGTTATCATTGTTACTAATTCTGAGAATACTGCCTCTATTACAACATTGCCATAAATCATCCATTTTGGCTGCAAGCACACAATGACTAAATCTTCAGATTTTCAATAGAAGACCTCTTCACTGTCAACTACACACATCTAGTTGTTCAGGCAATAGTACCAGTAGCCTAACAGCTCTTCAATGCGCAAAGGCAGAAAGACCTCGCTTCTTTCCAAAACATCTAACCACTAGGGGAAGATGATTGGGGAGGTGGATGGGAGTAATCCTGATGTAATAGAGGTAGTATGTTTAGAATTATATTATTAACAATGACAACTATTGTTTTGATCATTCTTGCAAATCCTCTACCTCTATTACATCATTGCCAGAATATACCACACTGACAGGTGGGTTCTGCCTCTAGGACACTCCCTGTATAGTTAACAGCAATCCTATAAACCTCATGTGATTTCATTTTATATTACCGTTTCAAACCCTCTTGGAATCACCTCTAGGGGACTTAAAATAGTTGAATGAACCAGTGTTAATTTGAAAACAGATCATTATATTGCTGATGTTCCACAAATGATGACTTCAGTTCTATTCTAGCTCATCATTTGCTCCAATCTCTCTGGTCTATCATATTTCTGGATATGATGTCACTTCCGATCCTCTTTCTCTTCCAATTGTGACGTCAATTCTGATGATCTGTCAGCAACCTCCAACTCTGGATTGATACAGCTATACCTTGGTACTCTTACACTCTGTAGCTATTGTTCTAAGAATAGGGGGCACGGGTGGCCCAGTCGTCTAAGGCGCCGCGATTCACTGTGCAGAGTTGCGTCCCTTGGGCACGCCAGAAACCTATGATTGTGGGTTCGAATCCCGGTTCGCCCCGATTATGTTTATAGGTTTGTCAGCACCATACCCGTTTGTGGGTTTCACCGAAGTGCATCACTTCGGGCTTTCCTCCCACATTAAGCTGACACGCCATGATATAACTGGAATACTGTTAAAAGCGGCGTAAAACCCAACTCACTCACTCACTCACTCTAAGAATAGGTGTACTCACCTCCTGTTACTGCTGATGTCATCATTGGCCCATTTTTTTTTCAATTGAAGGACAAAAAACTAAGATCTAATGATAGAATGGGCTGTGACAACAGGGCCACGGAATATATGCCATGCATATCTTGCTGGATATCCCGCGAGTAAGAACTAGTGAAGGTAGAGTGTGATGCCCTTTGGCATCCAGCTATGACCTGTTCAACAGAAACAGAAGTCCTGGATGCCAGGCTCATCTCCTGCTCTGTTCATAAACCCTATATCGTCCATATGGGCTCCATAGCATGAGTCTGAGGCATCCGTAAAGTGATGGTGGTCGGGAGGTTCGAGAGGAATCCCAAACATTATGCGTCAAGTCCACCAGGACAGATCGTGAAAGAGGTGGAGAGGCATGAGAACAGCGGTTGAAGGATGTTGATCCAGTTCTGCAGAGGGTGAAACTATAACCGGCCCCTTTGAGTCATATCTTACAGAGAGGACAGGGTTCCCAAGAAAGACATCCACCACCTGAATGAGTGAGTTGGTCGATCCAGTACCGTGTGGATCATCATGAGAGTCTGGGTACACTGATCCTCTGGACGATAGAGATATCCTGCATGGAGGAGAAATCTGGCCCCAATGTTATCTGTCCTCGATCAGTAGGTGTTCCGATTGGAACAGATGGATGAGGAAACCAAGATAAGTCAGGAGTTGGGTGAGTAAGATTCCGGAAAACTTCCCGATGGGGCGCTAAAGTGAGTGAGTGAGTATGGTTTTACGCTGCTTTTAGCAATATTCCAGCAATATCATGGCGGGGGACACCAGAAATGGGCTTCACACATTGTACCCATGTCGGGAATCGAACCCGGGTCTTCGGCATGACGAGCGAACGCTTTAACCACTAGGCTACCCGACCGCAAGGGGGCGCTAAAGAGATGTTCAGGTATACACTATTTGAAGATGGGCAAAGCTGATAACGGATGCCGTGATCCGGGTGAAGAGCCAGGGCGCAATCGAAATCCCTAATGGCAAGACCTGGAACTTGTAGTGTCAATCGTTTACTGCAAAACAGAGGCACTTTCATGATGTAAAATGGCCCGTTTGGCAATCAATGTCTTGATGGTTAGATTGACTGCCTCCAATTTGGCTCCCACCATACGGAATCTGTGACATACAGGCCAGGATAGAAGGCGTGGGTGTTTGTTAAAGTGGAACTTGGATCTGTAAAGAATTACGTCTGAAATCCAGCAGTCACACGTAACGTGCGTCCAATTTTTGGTGTATGACAAAAGACGCCGTCCCACTGGACCAAGCAATGGTGTTACATTGAAAAGTGGTAGGCATGTATCAAAGTCTGTAGACAAACCCAGGTCGAACAGATCTGCGACAATGGGGGGAGTGGGATAGAGTCCTTTGTGTTGCCCCATACCTCCGAACTTGAAGCCTCTTCATACGGATCCACGATATTTGGAGTCTGAGGGACGAAAAAAACTCAGAGACTGACTAGGAAACGACTCTTTCCCAGAAGGTATGAATTTCTTCAGAGCCAGTTCACAGAATGTAGAATCCCTGGAAGAATCATGAAACCATTCAGTCGTGTTTTGACAGACCTCCCCAACGATTTTCACAAACTGGTCATTGAAAATCTTCTGAGCCATAATGTGCTGACTGTAAATAAGTCAGACCTGATCAGTGTGTTTGGGCGTCAGTATGTCCCCCGGGACATCGTTGTAGGAGAGTGACAAAGTAAGCATAGCATGGCGAATCCCAACAAACCAGTTGAGATATGTGCCCACATCCATGGAGTACCTGTTAACCATTGATAAATCCTTGAGATAGCTGGCATGGATGGTGAGTTTCATATTTGGATTCTTGACTAATTTGATAAACTTGTGATTAACCAGTTACAAATCCGGGAATGGTGAAATATGGGTTTGATACAGGAGGCAGTTGAAGTCAGAATGGCCATAATCGTCACCAAAGTCTGATTCTGAATCCGTGGGAAGGATGATGATGAGGTACATCCATAACATTCAATGAATCTGTGTCACCCCCATGTAAATCCTCATCCAGCAGAGTCCATGATTCCAGGTTGATGTGTTGTCAGAGGTAATTGCATGGATCTGGACAGCCTGAATGATGATGCTGTGCGGTATAATCAAAATCTGCATGCGACACTGTGAGAGTCTGTGCGTAACTGCATGGCTTTCCAGACAATCCCGGGGAACACTTGTGAGAACCGTGCTGTAGTCGTTTAGACCCCGTTACGGTGAAGACTGGTAGTCTGTGTGGTCGACCTAGTCTGTGCGGGAGCCATATGGGACCTCAATTGAACCCATGCCCTCAGGCTGAACCTCAGTTCTCTTGGTCATGTGGACCGTGTGGGTTGTGGGCCGGTGGCTGTCAATGAGGGGTAAGGCATGGTCACCACTACACAGCTGGTCATCTGGAGGTGCTGCCAAATGAAGATGATCGGGGTTCAAATGGAAACATTCCGCCATTTGGCTTCTTGTCTGGGGGATTCTTCTGAGCCTTTTTACAAGGTTGACCTCCGACAATAAGGCTGATGGACAGGAGTAAAGGAAGACCTCCATAAATGCTGCCTTGCAAGAAGTTTCTCCAATGTGCTGATTAGAAAACCAGAAGGTGGGTCTGGCTGAGGAGTTGTCAAGGTGGACACTGTGGTCTTGGCCTCCTTATGCTTGCCTTTAGTTGTCTGTTTGTTGTTTAACGTTGCACTCAGCAATATTCCAGCTATGTGACTGTGGTCTGTAAATAATCAAGTCTGGACCAGACAATCCAGTGATTGACATCACGAGCATCGATCCACGCAATTGGAATACGATGACATGCATCAACCATGTCAGCGAGTCTGACCACCCAATGCCGTTAGTCGCCTCTTATGACAAGCATAGTCCCCTTTTATGGCAAGCATGGGTTGCTGAAGACCTGTTTTACCCCGGATCTTCACAGGTCACAAAGTTTCAGATGTTCGTTCCAGCAGTAATGTGATTATATGTGACATCGTCACTTCTTGTCATGTGGTCTTCTGCAGCCTGGACCTCTCACAGCTCCATCTTTCTAGTAAAAAAACAGCAGTAATAGCATTGAGGTAGTAATGCAAGATAAGTATCCAAATGTAAAAAATATTTCGATTTTACTAATTGATGGCAATGATGTAATAGAGGTAGAGGATTAACAAGAATTATGTCATTCATGTTTTTTTAAAATTTTATATAATTACAGTAATACCAACATTAAGAAGTGCAGAAGAGACCTGGATTACACGATTTGTTCGTGATGGTCGGGTGGACATCATGAGAAGAGACTGGCCAGACAGGCCTCCAGAGATAATGTTAGTATGGATAAAACAATTCGAACAAGATGATGATGTGACACTAACTGAGAGTTTCAGAAAACTGCTGAATCACATCGTCGAGGCTGTCCTCAATGTTGGAGATATCATTACAGTGAAGGCAGTGCTTTTAAATGACAGTGTTGACATTAATATTAGACTAAAGAGGGGAAGAACTCCACTGATGGTGGTAGCAAGGCATGGACACAAAAAAGTGTTTGACTTACTTGTGAGTAAACGAGTAGATGTGTCACTGGTCGATGATGATGGCAACAACATTCTTCATCTGGCATGTCAGGGAGGGCATGTTGATATTGTGAAGAGTATCCTTTCAAAGGACATGCAGAACATCAACAGTAAAGGACAGTATGGGAGGAGTGCAGTGATGGAGGCAGCATGGCGTGGAGATAAAGACTTGTTTGACGTTCTTGTCAGGGGAGGAGCTGACTTATCTCTTGTGGATGATTTAGGTAACACCATCCTCCATCTTGCTTGCATTGGGAAAAATGAGGAAATTGTACAGGATATCATCTCAAGGAATATTGTGGACATCAACACTAGAGGGCAACATGGCAGGACATCGGTGATGGAAGCAACATACTGGGGCATGCGAAACATTGACTTCCTTGTGAGTAACGGTGCTGATTTATCAATAGTGGATAATAGTGGTAACACTATCCTTCATGTGGCCTGTAGTGGAGGACTTTTGGACATGGTAAAGTATGTCCTTTCAAAGAAAATTGAGTTCATCAACGAAATATCAGATGGTGGGAAGACACCAGTGATTGAGGCAGCTTTTAGGGGAAATTTGGAAATGTTCAGACATCTTGTGGAAAGTGGAGGTAATCCCCGAGTAACTGATGCTGACGGTAACACTGGACTTCATGTGGCCTCCAAGAGAGGACATTTGGACATAGTGAAGTATAACCTATCAGAACAGTTTGTAAACATTGATGATGGAGGATGTGGCAAGAGGACCCCTATAATGATGGCAGCAGAGAAGGGACATACAGAAGTTTTGAAACATCTTGTCAGTGAAAAGGCTGATTTAGGTCTTCAGGATGAGGGTGGTAACAACATCCTTCACATTGCTTGTATGTGGGGCCATCTGGAGATAGTGAAGTATGTTCTCTCTCTAAATGTGATCGATATCCATGTTTTGAACAAAAGAGATCAAACAGCAAAAGAGGCAGCAAAACGTTGGGGACGTAGCTCAGTCTATGACCTTTTTTAGAGCTGGTGTGTCAAACACCTTGGAACAATGTTATTGTGTTGATATGACTATAATGCAAATGGCTTCAGATGGAAAGGTCAATTGAAATTAGGATTGACTGACCACTGATCATGTCCACTCGTCCTATCGGCAATGTCCTTTTGGGGGAAATTGGATGAACATCCTCACTATGTCACTGACGCACATTCCTAACTGTGATAAAGTTTGACAGACGGAATCTGTAACAAAGTATCAGCCCTTCAACCTTTTTAGCTCACTTCAACTGAAAAGCATCACAGAGTGAACCATTTCTTATTTCAGGATGTGTTCAAAACAGTATCACATTGCTTATGATGACTGTGTGCATGACATCCCCAAAAAGATTCAATGATTCATGTTATGTCAGCATTAAATTGGCACAGTCATTCCTTATCCTGTATTGCACATTGCCCTCAGAGATATTAATGGTGGTTGGGTAGTCTAGTGGTTAAAGTGTTTGCTTACCACGTTGAAGGTCCTGATCTGATTTCTCAGATGGCTACAATGTGTCAAAAAATATAAGTAACAAAACTCCTTCCATATTCTTAAGAAATCTGCTAAATGGCGAGTGAACAGAAAAAACTGATTGTGATTTTGTTGCAAATATCAGTAAAATTCATAATAGTCAAAAAATGTGCTGAAATGACATGCTCCGTAATTGACTTCCGAAACAAAACTATTTGGTGGTGGCCTAAAGCTACCGGCAGAGCTCTGAAAACTGTTCTCATTGGCTGATACATTTGTCATGTTTATCTATCTTGTGATTCTTAGCCGTTACATGTGTACAGTTTCTGCTATTTCTGTTAATCCTTCAAAAGTAACAACATTGCATACATTTATGAATGTGTGAAACAACCACAATATAACATAACAATTAACAATCAGTACCTAATTATGCGCCAGTTAGACATAACATCCTGAATCTCAAGGAGTGTTAGAGGGCTTTCATCAGACTCTTAAGAATATGACAAGGACTTACTGTTTTTAGACTGAGAAGGATTGGGATGAAGGCATTCATTTGTTGTTTGGTTTTGGGAGTCAGTTCAGGAGTCCCTGGGTTTAAGTGCTTTTGACCTTGTCTTTGGCCACACTGTTTGTGGACCTTAATAGCACTTGAAGGGACATTGGCTTAATGATAGGTCTGACATGGGTTTGTTGGAGTATGTCTCATAATTTCAGTCTAGACTTTCAAATACTTGTGAAGTCACTTTGGATAACTTGAAGAGACCCAAGGACAAAATTAAAGTGAATTATGACAAACATCCTCAAGAGAGAAATTTCTGGCCTTGCAATAAAGCCTTAGTGTTTTTGCCAATCGCTGGTCAATCATTACTTGCTAGGTACCAAGGTCCGTAGGTTATTGACAGAAAAATCAATGAAACTGACTATGTTTACAAACACCAGACCGTCGTAATAAGACACAGCCTTGCCATGTCAGTATGACTAGAAAGTACAGTAAACTATATTTATATAACAAACCTATTTTGTAGTCCCGGCCATTTGTTGTATATATGCTGTATACATATGCTTTTAACAAACTACGGTTATTACAAACTACAATTAGTGGTCCCTTTGAGTTCGTTATAACCGTAGTTTACTGTATCATGAAAGAAATGACAAAGTACTTAGTCAGTGTTTTGCCACTGTTTCTCCTGTGGATATTGTATCATGGAACTGTTCTGGGTGAACAATACCTTCCAAATGACGTGCTGGTTTTCTTGGGGAATTAGTCAGCAAAGAGCCAGAGTCACAGGAGACTAATCACAATTTTATTTACAAGAACAATTAACAATTTACAATATACTTAGATAATAACTGAGGGTGCCACAGAGAGTCGGTACACACTCTGGGCTGTGGGAGAGAGGTCTGCTTGGTAAGAGAGTCAAACCCCTTCTCTGCTTAAAACCTGCCTACAGTATGTATTTAACAAAAATTTAAACAATAAAATGGAATGTGATTGGATGATACACGATTGGTTGTGTCCTAAGCTAAATGGATGGCTAAACAGAGGGGAATACTAAATCCTGTTTATCCTGTTGGACTGGCACTAATCTTGTTGACATATTTACTGGATGCTTTGAAAGAGATTAGGGTGTCACTATAGATGAGCTTGTGTGGGGGCTAATCCTTAATGCCCTATAGATGAGCTGGTATGGGGGCTAATCCTTAATGCACTATAGACGAGTTTGTATGGGGGCTAATCCTTAATGAGTCTTAATTGAAGTAATGTTATTCTAATATACCCCGGTAGGTGATGACAGATATACTTAAATAAATATCCTTTGTCTGGGAGATAGGATCTTGATACCTTAGGCTAGCATTTATCTAAAAGCTTCAAATCAATTAAACTATGTAGACGTAACTCTTGTCTTATTGAATAGTATGTCTAGAAGACGCGCTCCAATTACCTTAGGCTAGCAACCATCTAAAAAGCTTTAACTGAAACTACTGATATTTTATATATGCATTTTACCTAATGATAATTATTACTTGCTAAATCTACAATTATATGAAATGATGTATAAATATTACATCATGATAACTCATAAAAGCACTTGATGTAGATCTAATTATTATAATAACTTAGTATAAATGTTATCCCATGATAACTTCCCCTCCGTCTGAAAAAGTTTGGACCCCAAACGTGTAAAAATAAAAATAATTAAGGCTTAGATGGACAATGTATAAAGTTTAAACTGGTAGTAGTGAATAATAATTATTATAGAGTCTCTTTGACATAAGGAAACATAATATAAAAATGCTGTCATCAAGGGTTCTGGATGTGGAGCTGGCTTGTCTTGGCACTCTGTACTGGTGGCTTTATGGGTGATGTAGGAGGCCTTGAGTTCCACATCCTGGATTGGGGTTGTAAGGTAGTAGGCTGTGTCCATGGAGGTGTTACATGGAAACAAAGAAAAGAGAGTTAGCATGTTCAAATAATATGTCATATATAAATACTTCCTTAGTTTGTCTGTAATAACTAGAAAATAAAACAAATATGATAATTATGATGTAAAAGATCAGTACATAATTATTACTAAACGGTGTCATGACCAGGAAGAATGTATTGGCGGCAAATTACAAAAGTTTATCATGAAAAAAATAGTAATATCCTTCTACTTTTGGATACAATCATTAGACGCATTATATATACATATATGTGCATGTGCATATAACAAGTTCATTGATTTGTTACATTAATACGGTATACAAAAGGTGTATATCATTGTTAGTTTTCGTAACTATTTGGTTTGCCTTTTCTTTGTTTCGGTTGTTAAGTTTGCTTTATTTGAATTTGGTTTGTTTCGCTTTGATTGTCCTTCGGTTCAATGCGATAGGGTTTGGTTTATTTTGCTTCGGTACGTTTTTGGGTTCAATTCCCAGTATGGTTTGGTTCGCTTCGGTACGGTTTGGTTCGCTTCGGTACGGTTTGGGTTTGCTTCGGTACGGTTTGGGTTCGATTCCCAGTATGGTTCGGTTCGCTTCGGTACGGGTTGGGTTCGATTCCCAGTATGGTTTGGTTCGCTTCAGTACGGTTTGGATTTGCTTCGGTACATTTTGGGTTCGATCCCCAGTATGGTTCGGTACGCTTCGGTACGGGTTGGGTTTGCTTCGGTACATTTAGGGTTCGTTTCCCAGTATGGTTCGGTTCGCTTCGGTACGGGTTGGTTTCGCTTCGGTGGGGTTTGGGTTTGCTTCGGTACGTTTTGGGTTCGGTTCGCTTCGGTACGGGTTCGGGTTCGCTTCGGTGGGGTTTGGGTTTGCATCGGTACGTTTTGGGTTCGGTTCGCTTCGGTACGGGTTGGGTTTGTGTCATTTCACTTCGCTTTTGAGATTGGTTGATCAGGTCAATGCTCAAAATTTGTTGTGATACAAATAACTCAGATGATCAGGCTGATGCCATTTGTTCTCAACTGGCGACCCATAGTGAAAAGACTGGACACAAGAAAACATAACAAGATACAGCTAATAGCTGTTTCGTGATTTGCACCGTTTATTCAGGAGATTTTGTATTTTTATCAAGAATATGTGCAATTGGCATTGTTCGGTATGTATGGTGCGTTGATCCTGGTATGGATGAATACTGTCTGTGAGTGAAATACGGTAGGAAAAGGTGTTGATGTTTTCATGGTCTATATCTTGAAAAATAACCCTCTTGGATTTATAAATTGGTGGTTCCTCTGGATCATATCGAGGATTATCTTCTAGACCCAGCCACTCATGGAGATCGTTCCAGCTATCATCAAGGTAGCGCTGTATGAGGTGGGGAGGAACACTTTCGAAATAGCATGTGAATTGACCAGGATATTCTTTATATGAGACCTTGACATAGCAGTCTCCTTGAATAATTTCAATGCCCATAACTCTTTCCATTTTATGATCTACTTTTCGTAGGTGTTTTGGAAAAAACGGATATGGTTTGACATCTAATTCTATGCATGGTTTGGTGTTGTCTTGCTTGACATTTCCGGACATTGTATTCCCTGACAGAACATTGATTGATTTATTGTCTTGTGCTGATTCCTTTTGGTCGAAAAACTTATGATTCTTCAGTGGACGTTTTCGTCGTTTTCCTGACATACTTCTTTTGAGGTGAAATTCTCTCCGAATGGAGTCTGGAATGCTGCTGCCATACTCCCATGTGTTTCCTCTTTCTGGGTCCTTCCATTTTACTCTGTAGTAGATTTTGCCATTTGCTCTCTTGGAACTAACAATTGAGTGGATGCCCTCTGGATTGAAGACCTGAGGGATATCCTTGGTTTGATTACCTGATGTTGGACTTGGAGGTTGTACCTGGCTGTCGTCAGGTTGTTTTCTGGATTTGGGCTGGTGATGCTTACTATTCACTCCTCTTTCCCCTTTGTTTACCTTTTCATTTACCTTGGTTGGAGCACTAGGACCTGGTGTGGCATGATTTTCCTTCATTGTTGCCGTGGGACTGGTAGGTTTTTCTGTTGTACTTGAAGCAGGGATTTTCTTCTTTGTTGGGGTCTTTTGCTTTGGACTCTTGTTGCTGGAAGTACCTGCCTTTGTTTTGGAATTGACCTTCTTACCTTTCTGTTGTGGAGGTGATTGATCAGTAGCCTGGTAAGTTGAACTTGTTGGTGGGGAATTGTTGCTGTCAAGATGAGTATCATTGACTGGTTCCTCGTT